GGCGGTGGCGGCTTCTTCTTTGCCAACAACAACCGACGAAACGGAGGAGGACGCTCGCCTCAGGCGGCGATGCAGGTGCGCCAGTCACCGGCCACCATTTTGGGCGGAGGCTTCTCGCCGGGATTGGCCGGAGGATCGGCTCGCAAGCAGAGGAAGAGTCCCCCACTGGGCGGCAAGATCTCGCCCCAGCAGCAGATGCAGATGCAGCAGCAGCAGCATCCACTCATACCCACCGCCCTGACGCATTTCGCGGGCAGCAAGTGCTTCGACGCACCAGCTCCAACGGCGCTGCCCAAGCCGCCCCAGCACTGGACGCTCTCCAGGTCGGAGGGCAAGTTCCCCATGGCGATGGCGATGCCGATGCAGACGGGCCGCTCGAAGCGGAACCTCCTCGACGACTTCGACACGCACAACCTGAAGCTGCTGCTCAATGTGCAGTCGTAACCCCGCTGGAGCTGGAGGATCAGTGGCTTTGGAGGAGGATCTGTATCTGGAGCAGGATCCGGATCTGAAGATGGATCCGCAGGACCGACTTGAATGGCTTGAACACCCGGTGGACCCCGAACCCGTCAATGAGTTGCAAAAAAATCGAAATGAACATAAAACCAACAAAAAAAATTAACAAAAAGATAAAACAAAAAATGCAAAATTAAAGAAAACCTTTACAAAAAAAGCGAAAACATTTCAACTGGAAATTGAACTTTTTTAAACAAAAACAAAAAAAAACAAGAGTAATGTTTGTGATCTCAAGTGTGTATCATGAAACAATAAAACAAATTTGAGAAGCTATAAAGAGAAAGCGAAAAGCGAGAAACTGTTTCAAGGAAAGCGGAAAGTAAACAAAATACAAACACACAAACAACTGTCCTCACACAACCGACCGATATAAGAACATCAACAACGACAACGAGAACAAATAACACACAGCAAAAAACAAAAACAAAAAAGATGCAAAATTCCCCGCTATATAGCTATAGAACAACCCCCCGCCCCCAATCTCCACCACTGTCAACTTCAATGCGCAAACTTTATAGAGAAGGCCAATCGACAAACTGCAACCAGTACAACAACCAATGGAAGCCTGGCTAAAATACACGAAGAAACCAAATGGGAAGCAGAGGACAAAGGAGAAGAGTCGAAGAAAGAAGAGGAAGGAGAACTTTATATGTCTAACAACGGATACTTCACAACTGAACATTGTTTTAAACGTGATACGCAAATAGACTTGAAAATTAATTAATAAGTAAAATTATAAATATAATAATATTTATGAGTAATTCAAAAATGGACGCTAGAAGCGCAACATAACGTACAGTTTATGTTTATCCCCCGAAAAGCGGACAAAATGTGCAACGTACCTTAAATGTTGATAAAGAGTAAATGCGGAGGGCAGCAGAAGCAAACAGAGTATATTCAAGAGACACGATAATACCTATAAACTAATAATAATAATACAACAACTACTATAAATCGTATACCCACCAAATCACAAAGACTAATTCAAAAACAAAAACTCAACGACAACAACTCAACGCAGCCGCCGCAGCAGAGCAGCAGCAGAGCCGCAGCGCAAAATGCATTCAACTTGCCTAAAATGAAAGCAACATCTATAACTCTCCTCTACCTTAAGATATATTGATCCACTATTGTATTGTAATTTTGACCTACCTAGATACTTCCATTACTTTTAGTTTTACGTCGCGCGAGTGAAGCAATTGCCCAAAAATACTGAGCTACATATGCGAACATGTGTAATTATTCTTAATCTGTAACTGCGAAATGGCTTTAAAAAATTCTAATTTAAACATTCTTGAATTGTACATAGAAGGGAACAACGCTAAAATGTTCAAATAAAATTTTCTAAAAAACGATAAATCGATAAACAATAAGAATAAGATCGATCAGCACTTGTAAATGTGGTAGCGCGCAATCGGCGCAAGCAAGATTTTATTTATTCCAAAATATGTTTGATCTTGCGCCAAGCGGAAACAATTGTGAAAACAACTAAAAACTATATAAGTTGCAATCCCCGAAGCGAAGGCTTTACGAGAGGAAAAGATATAGATATCGCGAGATGAGGATGAAGAAATGAAACTACTTTATGTAAACTATTCGTTGATGCTCAATACTGAAACACTTGAACCCAGTACCTTATTTTCATTATTAGCATTACTTATTAATTGTTAACATTAATATGTATGTAAATTATTTAAGTAACCACCCCCTCCCACACTTCCCGATCCCCGAAAACCAATCCAAAGTTATTTGTATTTTGCGTAGAAAGAGGCAGCGCAGCGTGAGTTTTGTTATGTGTTTTTGCCAAGTGAATTGGCCCCGAAGTGATAAGCCAAAAACAAAAAGAACCCCAAAACGTAATTGATAGTTGAAAACCCCAGAAATAAGAACACACTTGAGTTTTGTTTACGCATATTGTTTAACTTCCTGAAACAGCTAAATTATGAAGAAAGAACGAGAGAGAGAGATGAAACTATAACAAAACACTCGATGATAGTTTTAAAAATGTTGAAAAGCCAAAAAAGTCAAGTACTGTTTAGGTTTACTGAGCAAGTTGTCATATATTGGTAGCTTTAAAGCTTGTATCTTCAAGTTACACTACAAGTACACCCCATACATACACCCACTACTTAGAGTATTGAACCGAGCGAAGGTCCCTCGAGCAGTGCTCGGGAAGTCCCCAGCTCACCCCCATTTCCCCCCGCCCCATACAAAGTACACACCCCACAGAAGAACTCTAAACTTGTCGCGCAGAATTTTGCATTTTTTTTAAGTGTAAGCTAAACGTTTGTTACTTACTGGACGTCAATTTAAGCAGAGAACAGCTTAGATTTCATTGAAGCAGGATAGATAAGATTTAAAAGAGAAAACCATTTAAAACAGACCAAAACAGGGCCAAGATCCCAACACTCTGCCTCGGGCTGTGGGCACAAACGTTACGGAACGCCGACTTTTTCAACACCAATCAGTACAAATTAATTTCCATTTCAAAGTTCGGAGCCCGAAACAAGATCGCGGAGCTCTCCATGCGAGTCCAAGGCGTTTGTGCCCCCATCCAAGGCAACTGCGGAACGGCCCCTGAAAAGAAATTAAAATTCATTTTTATTTAAATTTAAAGCGTAACGACGACGATTCGACCAAGTTCGAATATTAATTTTAACCTCTTTATTTAAGCCGAAACATGATTCGTCGTTCTAAAAACAATGAAAAAGAAAGCAACCAAGCACTATGTATTTTTTTAATTTCTCCATTGATCTAATTTACAATTTAATTTGCAATTTTTTGTGATACTTTGCTATATTTTTAAACCTGGTATATATACAAATTAAAAACAAATACAACTGAAGAGAAAATGTTTAATTAATTACCCACACAATTACCTTAAATGGACCATGAAGATGAATGCGAAAATGAAGAGCACACTCGCCATTCAATATTGTAATTATAGAAACGATTGTGAATAAAAATCTGAGAAAAATTTTCAAGCAATATTGGAATTGTGTAAATCCAAGTCAAATTTTTAACATTTGAGAAAAAAAACGAAAGAAAACCCTACAAAACCAACCAACCAACAAGAAAACAATAGAAAAAACAAATAAACAATTGTACACGGCTTTCGTAAAGTAATTTATTAAAGCTTTGTATAATTAACAAAAAAAAACCTCAAATTTGTGTTTTTATTTGCGTTATCACGTACAATTTTTCGTTGGCCATTTTATTTTCAGAGCTAATCGGCAAATCCCCTAGATTATAGACCCCTCCACATTCCAGAAGAGACGAACAACATGTGCTCCGAAAAATTCCACTACCGAGGTTCTCACATGTTTTAGTTTGCGGCACGATCTCTAAGCGAGAAATGAAAACAGAACCAGAACCAGACAAAAAAAAAAAAAAAAAAAAGCGCTGAACTAGGCGATCGAAACAAAGGCAATGTGCATATACTATATGCATATAAATATATAAATGCAGCTGCATTTCACAAACACCCAGATATATAGCGACATACGAATTAAAATAAAACGATAAGCAACTTTACAGAACCGAAGGGGTGAAATACCCTGGCGGGCATATACAGAAATCTTTCCAATTCCGTTTCACTGTGAATAACTATCCTGATTGTTCCTATGTTAGTTCTGCATAGAAGCCTAAATATTTGTGTAATAATAATCGGATTGGCAAATCCATAAGAAATAAGTGCGAATTGTCATTGTGAGTTGAAGAAATTTATATGAGCAACATTTAAGCATTTTATAGATTCTTACACAGCAGATTCTAGTCAGCATGATAACAATAAATGTTTAAAGGTTTTATTACACCACTACACAAAATAGATACATGAATGTATAAGAAAAAGATATTTGTTGATATGAGACCGTTAAGATCTTAGCAAGAGAGCTCAGCAAGCATCAAAGTCAAGTTAAAACTTAAAAAAACCCAACAATTGCCTAACGATCAAACAATCAATGTGTAAACCCCCTCCAAAAAAGTACCCCAGCCAGTCATAAAATCCCCAAATCCCATTCCCACCCCATCCACTTCCCCAAATCCCCTAAAAAGTGTACAAAGAGATAAAGATATTTTCAATGGAACCCCCCACGAGATCCAGATTCAGTCTAACTTCTCCATCTCGAAAATCCAAATATCCAAATATACAGTTCGATTTTTTCATCAAAGCTTTTATATTCACTTGCTTGATTTCATTTTTGATAAAAATCTAGTTCTTTTATGAGATTTCCCATGTACATTAATTTATTCGTACAGTCACAAAGTGTTTCCAAAATATAATTTCCGATTAAGAAAAAAATGAGTCAAGGCAAACACTTTTTAAGTTTTATTGTGTGTCAACGGCGATACGGAATGAATTTCCATTACTAAACAAATTAGTTAAAAATGTTGATAGCGCAAGCATTTGGAAACCTATTTGAAGAAATTACTTTAAATTGTAAATGGAGCAATGGAAATGACTAAATTTGGATTGGTTGGATTTTTGGATAATTCGAGTTGGGAAAGAAGTTAGTGGCCGTGTCTTCAATGGAACCCCCCCAAAAATTGTGGATCCCAGAAGGAGGACAGTGGAGAGAGCGGTTTGGATCAGTTTAGTGCAAAGGTAAGTGGGCAAAACACGAACATGACTCACTGGCAGTTTAAACTAGTATTATCTAGGTGGATTTCTCTAGAGGTTGCTCGAAGAAAAAACAGACGCCAAACTGCGAGTGGTGAACGTGCTCCGAATCACCTCATCTCGCACCTCCCGCCTTACAGAGAAACAAATGTATTGTAACTTGATAAAGTATTTGAATCAATTTCCTAAAAAATATGTGTGTAAATTGTATATATTTTTAAAGGCCTCCGTTTAGATCATTTGAACCCCGAAACCGATTTGATTTTAATATGAATCATCTAACCCATTGTTTATTTTTGTTTCTCTGTATTTAATGTTTCTGTTTTTTACCTCGCCTCTTTGGGATTTCTTTATAAACGATGTCGCAAAAGAAAACTGGATTTACAGACAACACACAAAGTTGGCAATGGGCTTCGGTTTTGAATTCGGTGTCGTTGTTTACCGCTTCGCTACTCCTCAAGTACATATGTACGTACTCAAATATATATGTACCTTCGTATCTCCGATCGAACTGAAAAAAACGTCCAAAGAATACAAGACAATAACTGTACGGGTTGTCCATATTTGAGCATTGAAAGCGTTTTCCCCTGTTGATTTCGTTTTATGCTGAGACCCGCACTCTTTAATTTTTCTGTTATGTTTTCAACGATTTCAGGCCACCCCCGAGAAATATATATATGTACATCTGTACATACATTTTATATATCACAGTGGATGGTCGTCCATTTAGTGACGAATCGCACTTAGATTGTAGAGACTTTACTAACGACAAGGGAATTATGTACTTTTATATTTTTTATGTTATTTTTCTTATTTTTTTTCGATAATAATGGCGTTTGCCATTATTTTTCCCCCAAGAAGAGGTGTTTACGTTTAATATTCCCATATAGGCATGGGTGTCCGTATGTCTACACTCAAACTTAAGGCAAATCAAAAGCGTAAACAATTTTGTTTTTATTTCGCGTTCGGCTGCTACTCTTTTATTTTTATGGCGCTCTGCCTTAGCTAATTGCCAACGATAAATGGCGACGACGATAGTGGATTTCAGAGGGGTCGAGAGGTAAAGGGGTTATCTCGCCTCTCGCTCTCACGTCCGTTTAAATTTGCGATTGCGAGAGTTTCCATTGTTGTTGAAAAAGCAAAAAACAAAATAAAAAAAAAAAAAAAACACAGAGCTAAAGAAAAAACCTCTATAAATCATTTGAAAACGTGACTTTATGAAGACTTTTTATACCCCTTGACTGGCATTTAAGCATAATTTGTTCAAGTCGAAAATCTTGTTTAAATTACAATTTACAGTGGAACTCTGCGAACTTGATTCTCTTTAATAGTTTTATTGGAATTAATAGTTTCTTGAAACGACAAAGAAGTTTCAGCTGAATTTCAGTGTTTATTCTTCAATTGCAGTGAGTTTCAATTTAAATTGAGTAATTTCTTTGTACCAATAATTCAAATAAATAGGTGGTTGAGTTTTGAATTACCTTTCTTCTTTATCTTAATGCTAAGAAAGGTAAAAATTCATGGGATCTAAGAAAAAAATGGTGTTAAATCAATTAATATGGTTTTAAAGACACAAGATTTTGGAAATATAAACCCTGACTACCCTGTCTTGGCAAACGGGCTATGTAGGGTATCCAAACGAGACGGGCAAAACAAAAAGTTGCGTGCACTGGTCTCGAACTGGGCCTGGTAGATGTATCTATATCTACGCAATTGGTATCTGTAAGATACACACACAGCCGGAACGCTCACGTTGGGCCGCCACACGCGCTGTGTGCGGAGCGGGATGGAGATACTCGAAGAACGAGATGGACGGCATTCGTATTTACAAGTTTTGTGCGTTGGTCTCTGACGACCCCTTGGCCCCCTACCACCCCCTTGTCCAATCACCAATCCACAATCCCCATCCCCTTGTGTTTTTGTACACCCATATGTGCATATGCGTGCAAAGTACGCAAATGCTGAAGAAAAATAAAAAGAATCCTAAATATAAAAATAAGTTGAACACACAAAAGAAAATTATTTATTTCTAGTGAGTATATTAGTGAAAAACAAATATGTAATGCTGTTTACGATCTATACGAATGGGAAATTTGGATCAGCCTTATTTGTTCGCTTATCGTAACTTTATTCTTATGTTATAAATATTTTTTCCTGTGTACAAATTGTGAATATGTTATGGGCAATCATGTGAGTGTGTGTCAACGGTTATTTTATTTTATTTTCTTCTTCTTTTCTGTTTTTGTTTTTTTTTTTTCAGGCAATGGAATAATTTCATTTTGCTGCGCAATTTCTACTATTGATTCCCACATACTCGCATTTGTTTTATGCTTTTCCTTAGCTGCCCCTATCGCCATGGCTTCCATGAACTGCCCTGCTTTGCTTTGATACCATTTTCTAAATTAAGGCATACATTCGCACAAACAAACATCCGTCTATAATATATGTACGAGCCCCGATAGCATTCGCACCTTATCGCTATAGTGGTTCTGTGTACAATTATTGCACGCGTAAACACAAAATAGCGATATGAATGGTTGTTGTTACCTCAGACGGATGATAAGCGAACCAATCGAGCAGATGTTAACCCTTGAGAGAGTCGGAAATTCAACCAAAATTCGGCTCGTAACGGAAATGGCTTTGTGAAATGAGCTCCCAAAAAAAGGTGGATGATTCACGGACCCGATATAACCATGCGGGTTATGGCGTTACCCCTTCCACGTCGAAACTTTTATATCACATTTATTAAGTTTACAGTGGCATTCATGTGGCCGCTCCACGTGGGAACCAATTTGGTAATATGGCAATCGTATTTCCACTTCTTCGGTTATAAATATTTAATATATATAGTACATTGCGAGAGAAACGACCATCCCATACACGTGGGAACTTTTTTCTGGTTGGGAGCGTCCTTATCGCAAATTAATATTAATAGTGTTCTGATCCCAACCACTCACACTGATATTTTATTTCGATACTCATAAAGGGAATTATCTTTATAGTTCTACGAATATGGCCTTCCACGTGTGTATCAGTTTTTGTTCGTGATAACAACTTTTCGATACAGAGTAAAATTACCACTGCACTAGCTAATTAATATTAATAGCGCTTATATTTATTCAAACTGGTCTAGACCGAAGAATATTGATGAAGTTGCATAAATCAATTTTATATTTAGTTGAGCGTAAATAAATTCGAAATACGTGAGAGTCTGTTTCCAAATGGGATTTGAAGACTATATTTAAGGCATTCCACACAGTAGATACCCAAAAATGTTCGAATTCTATTGAAACTAAAATTATAAAGGGTTCTTTTTCAATATTAAATATTATATTTATTGGTATTGCATTCTCACAATGTTTTTCGCTAAGTTCAAAGAACCCAATAGTTTTCAGAAAGGTCATATTATATACGACCCTCCGGACAAACTGAAATTTTTGCTATTCCAAGCACCTTGAAATGGCTTTAAGTTGGCAATCGCTCACCTCACTGTACTCACTTTTCATCTCAGCGACCACGTGACTTGCGCTTTGTCTGGCAATGGAAAACGCTCCCCTGGCTAATAGTAGAAAACTCACTGAATGGATCTCTTATCGGTCAAGTGGTGGCGATGTGATAACCCCGCGGTTTGATAGGCCCCGATGCCGAGCTTGGATTGTCCGAAGTGGTGTGATCGCGGGATCTCGACTTGGCATCAGTCAAACATTTCCCAGTTACCCGGCAAGATGTGGTTCTCTACGAGTATTTTGATTGTCCTAGGAGCACTGACTTTGGTCCAGGCATGTTTTTTGGGAATACATTTTTCCGGATTATTGTTAACTAATTTTTGATCCCTTTAGGGTAACATGCGGTTCCACTTCTCCCTGGATTTCCATGTGAAGCAGCCACCCAACGCGACTGACACCCTCGACAAGACCATTGTTGTGGAGAACAATCAGATCTCCATGGTGGACAACGAGGGGACTACGACTACAAAAGCTCCGATGGCCCAGTGGACGGATCAGGATCGATATAATCAGGAAACCCTGCAGAAAGTGATCGATACCCGGAGATCGGTGCAGCAGCTAAATGCGGAGCTATCGCCATTGGCCGGCAGGAGTACCGATTTGGCCAGGAGAATCAAACTCAGTCTGCGCTATATCAACGAAGTGGATGCCGCTCTTGAAGATTTGACCAACTTTGGTCAGCTGGTGGAGCTGCTCAGAAAGTTCGTCGCTTTAGTAGATAGCCTCAGGGATCCGAACAATCTCGGTGGCATCCGCAGCCTGGAGTACGTACTCCTTAAGTTGGCCCTCGAGAAGTACGATCTTCCCAATAAGCGACAGGAGATCGGTGAATACTTGGAACAGGCGGAGAGTGCTTGGCGGAGATATCAACAGACGCAGGTGGTTCTCCTGGACAACTCCACCTGAGCCGAGCTCATTTGCGTAGGGTTCTAGACCCACAGACCTTGCTAGGAATATATAGTTTTAGGATAGGACAGGACAAAGACCAGCATCATTGGACGAGACAATCGCTGCCAGCATCATCTACTAGGGCGGCACGACCCTTGAAGGGAATAAAAGCCATCGAAGGGACTTCCTGTCTATTATTCGGTTTCACTGTAATGCCCTGAATTGCTACAGGTACACGAGGGGATACAATATTCCAGGGGTAGCAGAGCTAAATCTCCTTCGGTGCTCGGTTTCGTTAAGGCTGAAAAATACGTTACACACGCTGGGAGTCCCTCAGTACACTGTGGAAATTAAATAGTTTTTTAAACCAATAAAAATATAAGCAATCTTAATAAATAAATATTTTAACAATTTTAATAAGGAATACTTAAAAAATAAAATTGTTTAAATTCTTTCAATTCTTGAATTTCTAAAAAATTATAAACAAAATTCTTTATCTTCAAAAAGTCGCTTGCAATTATATTGGTGAATCTATTAATCACTTTTTTCTTATCAAAATACTAATCAATAGTTAATTGATAGTCTTAGCATAATCATTAAGTAACCTATCAAGCAAAAATTGGTTTGTTAAAAGTTCTTATTAACGTAGAAATATTTTAGATAGCAGCAATTCGTGTTCCACAAAACATTAACTATTTAAGAAAAAAGAAAAAAAATTATTTCTAAAATTCTGGGCTTCGGTTTAGTTTTGTTTAGAGTGTACATATTTCCATTCAGCAGATGCAGGTAGTCGGATCCGAGGCTCTAAGGGAGCATTTAATAGCGAACAACAGCTGCCAGAGCCGTTGCTAATGGGTGAAGTGAAGTGGAGGGTAGGGTAGGGTCCCGATCGCAGACTGAAATTTCCGAAACCCGAAACAACCACTACCAAAAACCATATGCAGTTAAGTGGGAAATGGAATGGGATGGGGGACTGGGACTCCGAGGAGAACGGCATTATCAAGTCGGTACGAGTAACATTTGTCGTGTGGAGTCTAGAGTATGGGGGCGGGTTTTCGGGGTAACGATTTTATACCCCCCATAGGAGGCAGTCCTGGAACTTCCAACAGCGGGGAACGCTTGAAAGACGACACCGAATCCAAATCTCTGGGCTACCCTTACGGCTTCCTTAACGGTTTTCAGCGATTTCTTTTTTAGGGGTGTCGTCTGAAGTGTCGACTTATAAATACACTCGTAAATACATAAATGTGCCTTTGTGTTGAGCAAAAACCATGAAGAAATCTCTATACATAATGGAAACTCGATTGGCATAAGAGGGACAAGCTGTATGAATACAGGTTTAAGCTCTTTTTTATCAACATCAGCCGAAACTGGTCGAACCGCTTCGGAACACAGGCCATCCGATGGCTTATGTATCTTTTTGACAGTTTATGTTTGTACTATAATTTCGCTGCAGGCGATAAATATGTATTGAGGCAGCATCCGGGCCAAGGAAGGGATTAGTCGGAGGTAGGAGAATGAATGAACTTGAATTTCTCTATAAAAACTTGTTCTAAAATAAAAAATAGGTACCTAATAAGTTTTAAGTAATAACTAAAGCCCAAATAAAATGTATGTTCAATTTAAGGACCAGCGTTAACTTGTTCAGAAAATGTTTTTTAATGATAACATTTTATTGCCTCTTTTGAATACAAAAAGGCACTCTATAGCTTATATTTAAGATTTAACCAAGATTATTTGTAAATCACATCGAATACAAGTTAAAATATGAACTGAAAATAAAGAAAGAACGTTTACTTATTTCAGATATTTAGGAAAAGTGTTAGCTAAATCATTCGTTATGTTAAGGGCCATGCAAATTTCCAGTTTGCATTTAAAGAAAGCAAATACAACACAGTGTTTAAATTTTGCGCCCTTGGCTGTGAACGATTTACGATAACGATAAGTTTTCCTCCTACTTGCTAGCTGTTAACTACATCCTCTGTTAATGTAAATGTAAAGCGAAAAACATGATTTAACTTCTATAGTTATTAACTATAACTTATTATTCAGTTTGGCTTAAAATTGCGAAGTATTTTCAGGACCTCGATCTGAAAGTCGAGCTTGCGATCGGCGCACATCCGCTGCATGTGCGGCTTGATGGTGTCGAAGAAGGCCTGGTCGGGATCAGCGGTTGTGGAGGCGGTGTTTGTACTGCAAGGTGGATCTGCGGGAAACTGAGGAAGCGGCACGATCACAGGTGGCGCAGGATCATCGCTTGTGTAGGTCAGGTCCTCCAGAACGGATTGCAGGTTGTCCGCAAGGTCTGCGGTGTTGCTAACGGCTTCTAAACTCGTTTCCTGGCCAGAGTTCCTCCTTCGGGGAGTCTTTGCGGATCTCTGAGTGGGCGGCGGGCGTTTTCGCTTGGCCTGGGGCTTGGGCTCCTCCTTCAAAGGTTCCTCTTCGTCCTCCGACTCGGCTTTTACGTCCAGCAGAAAGCTGAGCTCCTTCTCGTAGATGTAAGATGCCCTGGCCACCTCCTCGCCACTTTGCCGCAGCCGGTTGACCCGCAAGTAGCTGTCCCTCGTGTTTTTCCAGCGCTTAAGCAGGGTTTTCACTGCGAATGGGAGGTAAACTTGTAGAGAGATTTATAGGAAGAGCACAACCCACCTATTTCCTGCTTCTCCGGCTCGCTGGACGCCTCGAAGTTGGAGCACAGCTCCTGGCCAATTTGCTGCCAGGCCTGATCTCTCAGCTCCCGGTTGTGGAAGTTCGGGTGCCTCCGTTCCCAGATAATCGTTCGCTTGTGCACCGCGTCAATGAACTCGTACATCGAGTAACGCAGATTGCTGCCCGCCGATCGGAGGACCTTGTGATTGCCCATTATTTATTGTTTATTTACGGGACGGATGGGATCAACAATTGAAATGTTGCTTGCGCTTAACAGCACGGAGGCCGCTTAACAGCCCGCTAGCAGCACCGCTGCAGAGAGTTGCCACATTGTCCCGGATTTAAATTTAAAAACGTTTCTTTATGTTATGAAAATATGTTTTCAAATTTCGTGTTTTTATTTTTAAACATATACAGATAGGTCAGTGGATTATTGTTGTTGTTCTTGCTTCGAAGCGTGCGAAATGCGAAGGTATGACCGAGTAATACGTGTACGTGTTAAATTAGGAGAGAAATGCTAGTGAGTGTTGATGATTAGGGTGTGTAGAGTTCTCTGGATTTCTGAATGATTTTATTTACATGGGCCTGCCCATGCCGCGACCCATTCCCATGCCGCCGCCCGCCATCGGGGCTTCTCCGGCCTTGGGGCTCTTTATTGTCTCGTCGACGGAAAGGATCATGCAGGCTGCCTCGGCGGCCGCCGTCAGCGCGTTGATCTTGATGATCGACGGCTCCCAGACGCACTGCTCGTAGTTGTCCGAGATGTCCTCCTTGTTGATGTCGACGCCGAACCATTGGCCGCCTGCAGAAAGTAGGGTGAAAGGTAAGTAAGGTTTTTTAAATTGTAATTGATTAAATCGTAATAAATAACAAAATAATATTTATAATATAATATAATAAACTACACATTTCAATATCGCTTTTTAGAATATTTTCAAATCGGTTTAACATTTCGAATTCCCCACCGATTTCAGATGGCCACTTTCCGCCCAGGTGGCAACTCCCCGCACAGCCCGCGCAACAAACGAATCGAGGAGGTGCGAAAGAGCACACACTACAGCACATGTGACTCGAGCGAGAGAGGGCGAGAAACAGAGAGGTCGGAAGAAAAACACGCGTTGCTGCCGCACAAATTTCCGCTGTTTACAAAAAAAAAGATTCCCAAAAAGAAAGCCATGTCCACGGGAAGGAAGCGCAAGCAGCAGCTGAAGCCGCGCCAGGATGACCACCGGTCGCCGGTGAAGCGGCGCAGCGTGGACATCAAGACGGAGCCCTTGGACGGCTATCCGGCTTTGGCCGACTACGATTTGAGTACGGCGGACATCAAGCCGGATCTCACCGAGCTGCAGCTGCAGCTGGCGGCGGAGCAGCAGGTGGACACCAGTAGTCGCTTGGATTTGGACCACCAGGAGAGCGACTCCGACGAGGATGGCTACTCGGAGCTTAACTACCACGAGGCGGATGTCTTCTGTCAGGGTTGGTTGCTCTATACCCTTCCGCTTTCTTATATAATTATATTTCCCCCCTCTCCAAAAGATGAACCCGACGACTATGACCCCGATTGGAGCAGCCAGCAGACGGGCTCCCGGCTGCTCTTCAAGTTCCCCACTCCCAGCCAGCAAACTGGCTTGAAGTTCGGCAAGCGCTTCCAGTGCCCGCAGCACTACTTCAACCAGCTGCTGGGCAACCGCTCCAGGTTTTTCAGCCTTCTGGCCCAGGGATGCAATCTCAGGAGAGAGAAAAAGCAGCCCACCAGTGCCGAGGAAATGGAAACCTTTGTGGGACTCTGCCTGCTGATGAGCGATTTGAAACTGGACCACTTGGCGGACTACTGGAGCAGCAACATGTTCCACGGCTTCGTGGGTTTCGCTGGGAAGATGAGCCTGGAACGCTATCAGCAGCTGCTGCGCTGCCTCAGCTTTGATGCACTGCAGCCGAAGGCCAAGGACTTTCCGCTGCTCAACTTCATCAACGAGCGAATGGCGGATCTGTATGTTTGTGGCCAGCAGCTGGTGCTCAATGAACCCATCGCTTTGTGGAAGGGTAGATTCAGCTACCAGGAGGATCTGCCAAATAAGTTTCGCAAGAACTCGCTACTCCTGCACATGCTGAGCGAACAGAGTGGCCTGGTGGTGAAGCTGCTGCCGGAGGTGGTGCGGCAGGAGGATGCCCCAAAATGGGTGCGCAATTCCCGGCTGCTGGTGGAGCACCGCAACGAGTTGGCTTTGAAGCTGACGAAGGACCACCAGGAGGGACGCACTGTGTACGCCTCAAAGTTCTACGGCAGCTATGGTTTGGCCCATGAGCTGGCCAAGCGGAGCACCTACTGCACGGGGCTGCTGGACAGGAATAGGTACGGGAATAGCAAGGCGCTGGTGCATCAGCAGCTGGCGGTTAACAGCATCTCCACCAGCTACGCCACCTCGCTGATGATGGCCAAGTGGCGGCGGCGGGCGAAGAGCCTGTACTTCTTCAGCTCCGACTGCCTGGCCATCTATGCCAAGGAGCTGTCCATGCAGAAGACCAACGCCAGGCCCAAGCTGATCCAGGAGCTGGACTGGCAGTTGCGACGCGGCCACGAGAGTCGCCAGCAGCTGATCCACTACCAGCCTGCCTGCCAGGAGCTGCCGGCGGACAGGAAGCTCGCCATCTTCCTGCTCAACATCCTCGTCCACAATGCCTACTTGCTGTACTTGGCCAACGGCCAGAATCCCCGGGGCGGTCACCTCAAAAGCTACTCGGAGTTCCGGGTGGCCATCATCAAGTCGCTGCTGAGGGAGGAAGTGATCAGCGAACCCGTGGCGGTCAGCAGTCCGCAGAAGTCAGAGGAGCAGGAAAAGGCGAAGAACAACAAGCCAGTGGCCGAGGCCAAGCAGGTGAAGAGCATCCGGCACGAGCCGGTGGTCATTCAGCAGAACGGGAAGCCGGCGCGGAAGAACTGCCGCCACTGCCACAAGGGCGGAATGCTGCAGTTCAGCAAGTTCATGTGCAACTCCTGCCCGGACAAACCGGGTCTCTGCCAGGAGCCCTGCTTCCGGCTCTGGCATGAGCAGCTCAAGAAGTGAACAGACTAAGGACTATTATGTGGACCAATAAATAGATGAAACTATATGCTGTTTGTACTAATTGGTTTCTCAAGTAAAATTCAACTATCGAATAACAAACCCCAACATAACTGCAAATAAATCTTGTAAAGTATATGTAAATACTTTTAATGAAAGGGTATGGTCTTGCAAAAAAAATATCTTTTTTTTTACATTTTTTTTCTTGTAGATATACATTTTAAGAGTATACAAAAGAAGTTTTAAGTCAATCGGAGAAAAACTTTTGAAGTTATGCTGAAACTAGTACCCTAACCTCTAAGACTTTAGGTACGTAATTCTGAAGCGAAATATAAACACCGCAAAACGCCTTTTTTTAATAGTGTTCCAGCAATCGCTTTGCCACTGATATATTAGCCTATAGTATCGGCTATAAAAATTAGTGGATGTTAATTAAAGGACACTTAAAAATATACAAAAGGTTTGAATTAAATCCATCCAACCAGTTTTTATAGAAAAAATCGTAAAGTTAGTCGATTTTTTGGTGCCAAAGACCCTATCCCCCCTTAACAAACCCCAACATCATTGCAAATAAATATTTTAAAGTATCTGTAAATATCATAGTAAGGGGCAGGAACACTCACCCTGGGCGTGCTTCTGGCGCAGCTTGTTGAGAATGTTGGTGGCATCGAAGCCGGCGTTGTCGCACAGCTGGCGAGGAATGATCTCCAGGCCCTTGGCGATGGCGGCGATCAGCAGCTGCTCCTTGCCGGCAATGGTGCGCGAGTAGTCGCGCAGCAGCTTGGACAGCTCCATCTCGATGGCACCGCCGCCGGCGACCACGGAGTCGTGCTTGATGGTGCGGCGCACGATCATGATGGCGTCGTGGAGGGAGCGCTCCGTCTCCTCCAGGAACTGCTCGGCACCGCCACGCAGGATCAGGGTGCTCGTCTTGGCATTGGGGCAGCCTGTTGGGAGTAGGGACAATTAATTAGTGCGACTGTAAGAGCTAAATGGGCTTTTCCTTATCTTAAAGATTTATTTTTATACCCTTACAGAGGGTATTATGATTTCAGTCAGATAAAGTATATATATTCTTGATCGGCATCACTAGACGAGTAGATCTAGCCATGTCCGTCTGTCTGTCCGTCCGTTTCTACGCAAACTAGTCTCTCAGTTTTTAAGCTATCGGGATTAAACTTTCCCAAAAGTCTTCTTTCTATTGCAGGTAGTATATAAGTCGGAACCGGCCGGATCGGACAACTATATCTTATAGCTCCCATAGGAAATATCGAAAAAAAAAACGTAAAAAAAATCTAGCTTCAGTGTTTTTTTAAATATTACCTTTCACTCTTGGGAATATTATTTTTTAAATGCTTATGAATTTCGAATACAATTTAGAAAAAATTGGAACACTATATTATATCGAAAAATTAATTGCATATTAATAGGAAAAAAATTATTGCTTCGTTGGTTTTAATAATATTTTCTTCTACTCTGGGATATGACTCTTTTTAAATATTTCCGAATTTCGATTTGAATTTTATCAAAATTGAACTACTTTAACATATAGCTGCCATAGGAACGATCAGAAAATTAATGGGAAATAATAGGAAATTGAACAATTTTGCGATTTGTAAATTAATAGGAATGATCTGCAAGGGTATATAAGCTTCGCCTGGCCGAATCTAGCTTCCTTTCTTGTTAAACTTAAAACTAAACTTAGACATAGTTAAATTGTTACCTTGGAAGAGATTGAACCGCTCTCCGCCCACCTGGCGCTCCTCGAAGTGCTCGCACAGACCCAGGACACTGGGCTTGATGTCGTTGGCCGTGGTCATGACGGCTCCGCCGCAGGCCTTCATGGTGCGCTTGAGATCCTCGTCGGGAACGCGGCCGGCGCAGAAGATGTCGCGGTCGGCGAAATACTGTGTGGCCACATCGCCGATGGGCAGCTTGGAGAGCACCACATTGGCGCCGGACTCGTGGATCTTGGCAAGCTTGTTGTAGAGGATCTGCCACTCGGCGTCCACCACCTTCTGGTACTCCTTGACGTTGTCCACGCGGATCTCGGCGTTGTCGCGCTCCGCCTTCAGCTCCAGCTCGATGTTGAGCAGGGCAATCTTGCACTGGCCATAGGACTTGGGTGCCATTTCGAAGCCGGCATAGGAGAAGGTCTTCTTGAAGGCCACGCCCGAGACCAGCTGCGACTCCTCCAGCGAACCGCCGGTCACCTTCTTGATGCCGATCATGTTCAAGGGCAGCAGCTCATCCAGCGAGAGCACGGCATCGACCACGATGCGGGAGAAGAAGTCCTTCTGCTGGTGGATCAGCTTTGAGGACATCGCGGTGGCCGCGCACTTCTCGAGCAGGGCGCGCTGCTCCTCCTTGGACTGCTCGACAATCTGGACGGCCATGTCGTTGATCTTCTCCATGCACAGCTGCAGCGCCTTGCGGATGGCCTTGATGATGATGCGCGGATGGACGCCCTCCTCGACGAAGGGTTTCACCTGCTTGAGGAACTCGCCGGCCAGCAGAACCACGGAAGTGGTGCCATCGCCCACCTAAAGGATTAGCCAGATTGAAGCTTCAGCTGAGTCACGTGCTTCAGTTCACTTACCTCGGCGTCTTGTGACTTGGCTATGTCCACCAGGGTCTTGGCCGCCGGGTGGATGATCTCCAGCAGCTTCATGATGGTCGCTCCGTCGTTGGAGATCGTCGCCTTGCCGTGGGCGTCCACGATGAGCTTGTCCATGCCGCGGGGACCCAAAGTGGTCCGCACCGCGTCCACGATCGACTGGCAGGCATTGATGTTGGACACCAGCTGCGGCTTGCCCTGCGACGTGTCGGTGCCTTCCTTTAGCAGCACGATTTGCGGTTGCTGCGGATCGAAAGGATATATAGCCGAATATATAGTAAAAGTCGCCAATTAGTCAGCAGATGTCGTCGGCTTGCGAGAAGCTTCTTTGCAGGTTATGTTTACAATCGCATGCCGCTCGAAAGGGAGTTCCTGATTCGGGCTGCCCCCGCCTTCCACGGGTTATTTGCGGCAGGACTCACCATATTTGTGTGATGGGGCTGGCCGTTTAGACTTAATACAGTTTAAAACAATAAAGTTCCTAGCAGACAGGCGGCAACTTGCTTTTCGTTCACGTTTTCCGCGATGAGTAATGGACCTATCGATGAATCGATACCTGCTACCCTTTCAATCGATGTTTGCGGCCAGTGTGAACGTTTGCGGCGAACTTTGGCGCACTTTTGAGAGGAATTTGAATTTCATTTGGGTATATGGGGCCGAAAAATGTATTAATTTATAAGGGGGATTCCCTAAACTGTTGAATTGCTGAATTGTTGAATTTTGGTCAGCTGTTAATCAGCTGTTCCATACAAAGTCAACTTTCAGAAATTTCAGCAATTCATCAGCCTCGGGGCTGTTGAAAATTTTGTTGAATTGCTGAAAAGCCAGAGTTGTCACCTTTTTTTAAAGTCGTGGCAACTCTGTAACATTTTAGTATCACCAGTACGCATTATTTATTTTAAAAAGAACATAGAAAGCATATTTGTGGTTCTTTTTACTTTGGTAACTCTTTTAGACAGTAACTAGCAACAATAAATCAAATTTTACATGCTTTAAGTTCCGTGAAATTTTTCAACGAATAACAGCTGTTTGAAAATTCAACAGGAACCATTTTGGGTCGTTCCCTAAATTGCTGAAATTTTTCGTTGAATTTTCAAAAATTCAGCAATTCAACAGTTTAGGGAATCCCCCTGCGGCCAGAATATAAGTTTTCTATTGTTCAATCCTTAAATATTTAAGTTACCAACGTTCATTCTTCCTTTCAGAATGTATAATTTCAATATCACCGATCGCACTTGATCGTTGTAATCGACTCATGTCATCGACATCGTGTGACGTCACTGTTGACCGTTGAGCGGTTTTTTGAAATTGCCTCCAACTTCAAATATAGATTTGTGATTCTTTCTATTTATATAAATTTGGCGATGCACTCAGGCATGTCGCTTATTCCATTTTAGAATGTGCGCCGCATCTTCAGTTTGTTCCTACCGCTCAACTTGAGTGAGTTGTGCACCGAGCAGCAATTAAATGGAAAATAAAAGAGTCGTTTAAAGGCCAAAACGATAGAACATTCAACCGAAATTAGGTTCAAATGGAAGCAGGCAGTCTAAATCTAATTCGGTCATGTGGAATTGGAATTTTAGTTGCCCAAGACTCCTCCTAACGACGACAACGGACCAACAAAGATGCCAATGGATGCTAGCCCAAAAGTCGCAAAGTGATTACGAAACGTGTCAGGATTCTGAATCTCGGAAAACTGGCTGTGGAAAGAATGCAAATAGTGAGTAAGCAAAGTGGATTGTAGCTCCCACTTGATAAGACGTTGAAATCACAGTGCAAAGTTTGTTCCCCTTTTGTGCTTTTATTTAGATTTCCACTCGGTTGATAGACTGGAATCGGAATGTGTTATAATTGTGTCCATCATTCATCGCGTCGTTGAGGCGATTGTCAAATTTGTGTGTGATTTGTAAAGTTCCAGCTGTTGGGGGTCAGTCGTACAAAGATATACTTATAGAATGGGGAAGAAAAGAATATACCAGGAATAGCTTTTGAGTTTACATCTAGATTTTTCATGCAATAAATTAAAGTTATTATAGTTATAGTTTGTTATAGAATTTATCTTTTATGTTCTGATACAATTTATTATGTATATGCACGTTTCCACACCTAGAATGTCACGTCTTTAGATTGCTCTCTATCATAAACTAGCACAAATGATTAGTGGCGCTATAACTCTAATCAAGCTATGTTATTCATACGGAAGCGTTTATAGCATATTTATTCAAGAAAATGAGTAACAATTACCATATTATATCTATGCATTACATTTCCTGAACTAATACCATATCGATCATTATTTCGGTTATCTTTTCTTTCGGTGTTCCACTATTTTGACCGAATTCGGAGAGGGTTGTGTGCATATTTCGGTTATTAATACGCAAGCGGCGGGTTTGTTTTTGTTATGAATACGAGAACCGGGAGGAAAATGAATTCGGCTTTCAATGAATTGGCTCTTCCGGCTCTACGTCGGCCATTCTTCGGTTCGGGGCACACACGCACACAGGCCCGAGCTTTACCACCCCGTAGCCCCAAGAACTGCATCAGTAAATGGCAAAGCTCCTTTTAATTAAATGGAAATGGAGGCAAATGTGAAAGAGCTTGCGAAAGCTTGAGAGGCCGAGTTAGTCAATCGGTGTCCGGCCGAAACGAAAGATCTCTGCTATCGCCGAGCAAACGAAATTTTACCTAGTATAGAACACTTCTTTTAGTTTAAAATTTAAATTGATTGCAGCTAATTAAGAGACTCCCCAACGAATCGAACATAACTCATTTTTATTCCGACGAACTTGTGCAACATTGCGAACTTCCTGTGAAACGAACTCTGTGAAATATTTAAAAGAAATATAGGAAATTTTGCCAAACAATTGTCGAAGAACTGCCCCACATACCGACGATATTCCACTTGGTCTGTGCGCGAAAAAGTCTATTGAAAATTAACGTATTGACGTCATTACACTGCTAGAAACAGTGGCAAGCAGGCAGTAAATAAACTGTTTACATTACAAGATCGTCGGGCGAGTGAGTGAGTGAGGGAGTGAATATACAAAAGTTTGAGGCACGCCAAACTTTGGTCTACGACGCCCAAGGATTTCAGAGCTAATGGTGCGTATACGTGATCTTCAGTGAATCAGCCGCAAAGACTGTACACTCGTCGGCTGTCCGACTCATCGTTTGGCAATATTTTCAAATTGATATATGTCTGAAAATATACATGCTTAAAGAGCAAAAAAGAGACTTTCATCTGGCCATGTGTACGGCGTGGATGGAAATCGAGTGGGTGGCTTCGCTCGAACAAAACCAATCCCATCCAAGCCGGTCACATCGAGGCTGTGATGTCACCATGGCGTGAATGTCGTCCCGAAAACACTTTATTAACGAGTTGACGGGGGCAGCGGTTTTTAATTTAATTAAATTAAATGCAACATGAAAACTGTTATCATCCCCAGTTCAAAAGTAAACTTAATATCGTAAGCGGACACCACAAAACAAACATCATTTGCATTTAAATGACCTCTAGTAAAGTTGCAACATGTTTTTTTTCCCGTTTTCTATCACTGATATATAGGCAATATAATCGTATTGTTTGGTATTTATTTTTTTTTAATGGGTCACCCTTCTGTGTTTAAAATATTAAACTCTTAAAGTTTATAGCTCTTCTTAAAATATAGTATTCTTGATTTTAAAAGGGAATTAAAATACCACTTAAATCTCTCCCAAATTAACACCTAATGGATCGTGTTGAAGAAACAAATCAAATTCCAATTAAGCGCCAGAAGGTTGCTAAGTACACACATCTGTCGCCCTACATATATAGATCGCGGCCTTGATAAAGATGATCGGACAGAACTCTCGGCGAGCATTATATGAACTGAGGGCCCCATTCGTGTGTGCACCCCATACGGTATATATACATAGATGCTTTGTTATAATCTTTCGGGCGGATGTGGGAGCAATGCGAAGAATTCTGCTCTAGAGAAAACAAGTAATGAAAAACGTTTTTATTGCGTGTAAAGAGCCCCCCAGAGGGGAACCTGAAAAAAAACACATGTATTCTAGTTCCACGGCAAAAGGCGCGCCACATGACGTCATTAGGAAAGGCCATTCGGGACCAGTTTATTTGGTAAACCCAACGCAATTCGCGTTGTAAACTATTTCCCAGTCCCAGGGTGGCCATAAGTTACATTTTCCATTCATGTGTGGCCCGACCCATTGTGGCGAAATGAAGGAAAAAGCTTTTCCGTGGAAATCAATAATGGGGGATACTTGTTGATTAGTTCAGGGCAGCGAAGAAAAGCGTTGAGAAGTCAACGGCTAAACAGAAGCCATTGAAGTGCAGGCAGACAAAGGAGAATCTCCGCGTTTCAGATGATATATGCATGTAGCCTCCCTTCAGGCAAAGACACTGATCTTAAAGAACTTAAATATTTAAAATACAAAATATTGAAAATAATATTATTTCTTATAGATAGATTCATAGATATTGATGTGTCATGATTGATTTTAAAATATTATTTTTTATACAAAAATCACCAAAAATAATTAGAGACTAAAATAAATAATATAATATTTAAAATACAAGAAATTGAAAATAAAATTATTTCTTATAGAAATATTCAAAGATATTGATAAGTGTCATGATTGATTTTAAAATATTATTTTTTATAACCAATAATAATTAGAGACTAAAATAAGTAATATAATATTTGAAATACAAATAATTGAAAATAATATTATTTCTTATAGAAATATCATGATTGATTTAAAAATGTTATCTGTTATAAGAAAACCACCAAATACAATTAGAGACTAAAACAATATCCCTTGTTTTCCCCAACAGATTGAGGAGAATCCAACGATGACCAGGTGAAGTATAGCAGGGACTTTCGGCAGGGTCGGAGTGCACCGCATATGCAGTACTTGAAAAAGCATAAACCCAAAAACAAAACGACGGCAACATTTTTATATACTGAAGCTACATAAAAATGGCTGAAAACCAAACCAAAACGACCTCTAGCAAGGGATGCAATGGGAGCAGGACCGCCAATATCCTGGCGCCCCACAATGGGACTGTGGTGCGCAGGACGGATCCGGGCTCCAAACTCAGAGATGGCTTCCACACGGAGAAGCACGATATCGAGGACTGGCAAACGATGGCCAAGAACAAACTGAAGCGAAAGAAGAAGCTGAGCGCCTCCCTGACTTCCGTGGGCGATACGGTGAATCAGGAGAAGCGCACCCGCATCGAGGGCATCCAGCTGCACTGTCGCGGCAAATTGCGGCCCAAGGATACGCAATCCTTCGAGGCCGAAAGGAGCCCAGCAACAGGATCAACCAAGCAGATGGCAAAGGTTGACAAAGAACGGGAACGCCCGGTAATAATCGGTGGTGTGACGACCACAAATGTGATAGCAGCACCTCCGCAGAGGATCAAGAGAAAGCTGCAGGAGAATCTGGACACGATCCAGAAGTTAAACGCCCTCACAGAGCAACTGCGTCTGGAGGTGAACGAACTGAAGTCCAGCCTGATCACAGAACGCGGAGCAGTGAGGGCCCTCAGGTAAGTTATGGGGTATATAAAAAAGAAATGTATTTAATGTCATAAAAGTAAATACCTGCACCCAAAAAAATATCGATATGAAACGTAAATTGACCTGGTCGAAAAGAGTTTTGCATGACCTGAATTTTTTTGGCCATATCGATTTTACGGGAACATGCTTTCTTTTGCGTGTGAAATAGGATTACAATTTAAATACTATTTCTAGACTTTAAAATACATGATCTTATATAAACTTTATATAAATGTATTTTTGCAATGCGACTTTATATGACCTTTGATTAAATTCACGATCGACAATCAGTAAACTAAGAAATTTAATCTGTCAACCAGCATGTGTATATAAATCAGTGCATATATAAATAAACCTATATGTGCAGTCGTACAATTTTACGTATGTTGATTTAAAATCGCTGAAACATCAGATTTCTGTTTATGGACTTTACTCACAAACATTAACATACATGTGAACTGTATGTAATACAGTTGAAGCTATAATATTTTTATTGAGGTTCTTTAAAATTATAACGATTGACTTTAGTAATAGATTAATAGATCATCATTTAACATTTATGTTTTGAATATTGGTTTTTTTTTTTGGGTGAAGCAATACATTTATATTGTTTAATTTTTCGAAATTCTGGACTCCATAACTTTTTTCTCCCCACCAGGGCTCAAAACGACGCAGATAGTCGTCGGTGGAAGAGCGAAGTGAAGAAGCTGCAGCAGACGCTGGAAATTGCCAAGAAGAGCAATGGGATAAAGAAGTCCAACGAATCGGGCCCAGAATCGGGCGGCACACATGTGACCGCCGATGGCCTCATCAACTATGAAATCCAAAGACTGACTAACGAGATCGCCGTGCTGAAGGAAGCCAATCGAACCAAGGAGGAGAAGACCCAGGTAAGTGGATGCCACATCATCATCATCGCCATATCCACCATCACCATCATCACATTGCATGTTGCATGCGATAATTAGTGGCGCCGCTTTGTTACCGCCAAGTTGTAGTTGTGGGTCAAGTGCTCCCAGGCCAGCACGATGCATGCCAGTCCGATCCCCACCAGCCACAGTGCGAAAACGGCGTGAAAATGCTGCAGTTTGAGGACCACGGGATCATCGCTGCTGCTGCCCCGCCGTCGATTGACCACTTTCACGCCCGATTTGATAAAGGCCGAGTTCATGATACGGTCCCAATATCGCTCGAATCCAAACTCATGCGAGCTCCGGATCAGCGAGTCCAGGAAGCCCAGGTAGGGCGACCCATAAGGAACTATATAGACGGCATGGAACGGCACCAGGCAGCTGTTCATCAGGTGGAAGAGCGGACGACCCAGGTGCATGTGCACCCGGTTGTTCACCTGGAAACGGGCAATGTGGTACTTCTCCAAGTAGGCGTATCTGGGGATGAAATTATTACGCTCACTAGATTACGATTATAATTTGACATCGGATTTTAGGTGAAATCGTTTTTTTTTAAATATGATTAAAAGTAGAGTCCTGCATGAGTACACTTGAATTGAAAAACAAGTCAATTTTTTGAAAATAGAGTGAGTGAGTTCAAGTGAGTTAACTTGGATCACTTGTTTCATTTGATCACTCGTAAAAAAAACAAGTGATACGAGCACAGAATAAAATTGAGTGGGAGTGATAAAATTACTAAGCAAATTATTAAGGTGATTCGAAATTATTTTATATCTATTTATTTTATATTAAATCACTTGTTTTTCCTTATGAAAAAATCCAATGAAAAAAAGTGATCCAAGTTAACTGATTTTAAAAATTGACTTTCAAGTACAAGTTTGATTGGTTACAAATTTTGTTACAAAAACCTCAATGGAGTTTGGCCTAAATCTAATTATAACTTAATAAATAAAATTTGTAACTAATCAAATGTGGCTTTAAATATAGTATTATAATTTCCAATTATAATATTATACCTACCTAACATCGTTGTTCTTCATCATCTCGTACATCTGGGCATCGGGAACCTCCAGCATTTGTTCCCTTATCCTGGCCTCGTGCATGTGTCCCAGGGTCAGGAAGTGCTGGATGTGCTTTATGTGCCGCGGCCGGATGAGGATGCGGTACTGGGACCTTGCCAAGCTACCCAGCTGGTTAATATCCGGCAGATAAGGCTGGAACACCATCATGCTGGTCAGATTGCCCCTGAAGGCCGAGCAGATGAGCAGTCCGAAGTAGAGCCAGAAGATCAGGAACAATCGAAGCGAGTGATTCCGGGGAATGTGGGTCATGGGCATGGTTAAAGCTCCGGCGAAGAGTTGCATGGGCACTCCACCACCCACACCGTTCTGCAAAATATAGCAGAAAACATTGCCCACCAGCACAGAGGCCAGGATGAGGGCCCAAACCGAGGTGCCGAACGATCGGAATATATTCCAGAAAGTGGGCGCCGTCTTGGCCTTCGGGACAATCACACAGAGATCGTCGCGCATGTGGGAGACCGTATTCTCCGCCAGCTTCTTGAAGGTGTCCGGAACCAGGAAGCGAACATTCATGGCCATATCCACATACTCCTTGGCCACCTCAAAGAAACAGATGTCCGAGCTGAGATTGTGGTTGTTGTAGGAGTGCGGACGGGTTATCATCATGGTGGCGTTCAATCTCTCGGCTATATAGCCCGCTAGTAATCCATCTGTCCCCAGGATGATTCCCTGCCTCCAGAATATGGCCCTCACGTCATCCTTGTAGATGCACATCCTCAGCGGTTTCCTCTGCATATTCGGTATGGTTTTGGGAAAGAGCTGCTCCAGGGTGGGCACCCCCTTCGCGTCATTCTCCACCGGTATCAAATAGTTGTCCGTAAAGGGGTTGTACCGATAGGCATGCAGTCTATTATCGCGCCAGTAGAGGATCACTATGTTCAGGAGCCAGATCTTCCAGAATTGCCGGAAACTGGCCCGCATCCAGGCATCGGAAACGGTATCGGCATCTCTAACTAGCAGGAAAACATGCGATCGGTGCTTGGCAGCCGACTTCTTTCGGATGAGCGATAGTTCCAAAGGTTGCGATATGTTTGTTATAATCATCACCATGTACATGAGAATCCCATCGTCTTTGACCGCCTCCAGTGGTCCATTTTGATTTCTGCCAAGGAGTAATATATATCAGTTAAGTTAGTAATGCTGCAGACTAGAGCCCTGCATGAAGGGATTCAATGAATTATTTTGAATTTTTTGTTTTATATGAATGAATTAATTAGAATTGAATGAATTCGAATTTTGAGTTTAATAGAATTGAATGAATGAATGGCATGAATTCCGAAATAATTCAAACGACAATTTCTTTTGAAGAACAAAGGGCCTTTTTTTGTGAATAAATCTGTATGAATTTTATTTTTTAAGCAGTTGACATTGATTTGTTAAAAATTTCCCACTTTTTGTTCTCAAAAAAAAGCACAAAAAAATCTGGCAAAATAAAAAAATTCATTCAATTCAAAATGAATCAGAAAAACATTCAATTTATTTCACATAGAATTGAATTAAACAAATCAGAAATTTCATGGCATACTATGATAAAACAGACTTTAGCTTACCTCAAAGATATGTAGGAAATGTCGCACTTGGTCACCTCCCGCAGAATCTGGCCCGTGTGCTCGTGGGAGGTTTGGTTCTCGAAATACACGAAGAGCACCTTGATCCGAGCCCTGCAGAGGATCTCGCTCATCTTGACCATCAGGTGGGAGCTCTTCTTGCTGTTCAACGGAATGCGATTCTCACCTGCCTCGGCCAGGTGGGCCAGGATTACGAGGAGCAGGAGATGTCTTAGCCACTGGATGGACATTGCAATGCCAACTGTTTGAGGACAGCGAAGGCACCTTTGTTTTTATACCCTCAGCCAATTTCGATATGGCAATTTCGTTAATGCTTCCCATATCGGCGAAGGACGTTAAGCAAATATTGTGCCATATCTTTTGCACTTAATCCTGCGAAGGATATTTTAGTTTCGGCTTTAACTTTACACTTTCAAGTTTTGTATTTGAAAATATGTATTCTCAGGAATGGCTTATCTAATTTTTTACGCATCTACTAAGATTTCGAATTAACATACCTATTAAATTTGAATTTTAAACACTTTCTAATGCTCTAGAATATGCGATGAATTTTAAAGAGGGTAAACACCCGACCAAGTGAAAGCCTTTAGGAGTTATTAGCCATATTTTATTGGTTTATTCTCTTCTGTATACCTTATAAAGGGTATGGGGTTCTTCCACTGCGACCAGAACTTTTCTTTCCCGTTCTTTTTGTAGCATTTTTGTGTGTTTTTGTGTCTCGTTTGGTTAATGGATGTGCGACCTAATCGCAAAGTGCAAACTAACAGCATGGATTAACTTGCTTTTGGCCTCCACTCCCGCTGCCTGGAGTTCCCCCCAAAAGTTGGCCACACGCATATGTAGATACGTATATATCATACATATCCAACCATTTCTTGCAGATTATGGGGCAGGCTGATAGACTCAAGGCTGCCGATATGCGGCAATTGAAGAACGCGTACGAAAACCGATTGACTCACATACAGAAATCAGCCAAAATTGAAATAACACGTTTGGTAAGTTGTGCGTGTAGCGGCTGCTAACGGGTCACCAAAAGTTGGCCGAAAGGGAGTTGGAGAGGGGAGGGGGAGAGGGGTGAGCGGTACGGAACGGAACCCGGCGGCTCCGAAGCGGACGGGCAACTTTTCATACGACCATTGAAATTCATACATGCATTTTGAATTTGCACGGCAAGAAAACAGGTCATTTATAACTAGCGATCATAAAATCTGAATTATTTCGACTTTAGATTTAAGTTTAAAGGAAAGATTGTTTATAAATACATTTCATTAAATATTTACACAGTTGATTTAGGTATTTCCCTGAAACAATATAAACAATAGATGTTTAGACGATGGTAAGGTGTACCATAAATATTATTGTCTGAACACCTTCAAGTCTGTTTATCTAAATATTAATTTCAGTATTGTGTATACTATAGTTTCATATCTCTGAATCATTTAACCTTATAAAACTGTGCAGGGCCAACTAAAACTTCATATCATCTCCTTACAGCTAGAGGAAATAAAGACCAAAGAACGTAATATAGGACAACTGAGGAAGGACTTGCTGGCACTGCAGAGTCCCAATAAGCAGAGGAGGCAGAATGAAGCCAAAGTGCCAGCGACGACGAAACCCAAAACGAACCCCAACGAAACGAGCCAAAAGCCAAAGAAACCCACTACGAAGCCAACGGGAGAAACAAAAGCTAAAACCGAACCAGATACAGAAACAGATATTATAGTCGAGCAAAATCCCATACGCCAGGCTCAAGTTACACCTGAGGTGAGTCTGTGTTTCTTTTTATTTCTTTGGCTTTTTAAACTTTTTTTTACATTTTTTGGCGGAGGGGGCAGCACTTGAACTTGTCTGAGAGTCGGGTTAAAAGTTAAGAGCTCGGCCAGATACAGTATCTGTATCTTTGTATCTCGGGAGCTTAGAGTATACACATTCAGCTGCCGCCAGAGTATCTGTATCTCCATCTGCATCTGTATCTCCACCTGTGGTTATGCACTATTGGCATGATCTATGATATAATTTTGCGTTAGTTATGAGAATGGCAAAGACAACAATCGCCGCGTCGATAAGCGGTGGGCAAAAAAAAAGAGAAATACAGAAAAAAAGGTAATGAAAAACCTGCTGCGGCAGTTGCAGCGTTGCAGTTGCAGCAGCGCAAGTGTTGCAAGTGGATCGCTGGCAGCGGAGAGAGCGAGAGAGTAGAGCGGTGGGTTCCAAGCCGGTTTTTCGCACCACTCACTCACTCACTCACTTTCTCTCCCGCCGCTCGAGAGTGTACCGCTCGCATGAATGGCCGTTCAGTTCGGTTTTTAAGTTCGCAGCGGTCGCAGGTGTCTCAGTCTCGTTTCTCAGTCCGATTTCGAGTTCGAGTCCCCGCAAGATATAATAAAATCCTAATAAAAAAACCTACTACACCCAGTGGAGTGCACAAGTCAAATGGGTATAGGTATAGATCCGAGTGCATAATCAGGTGAAATTTGCGGCCCAGAATCGAGGGACTTTTGAAAAGAGACGCTAATGAAAAGCATATTACGGGGTGCATTGTCTGATTTTCTATGCCAAAAATGAAGGAACCAAATGCCACACATTGATGGATACATACCACAGCCGAAAACACAGAAAAACACAAACAATCGTTACTTTTGAATAGGAAAACCTATTCACAGTTTGTCTTTCTCTTTGGCATTGTTTAACGCACACACGAACCCATAATTTCACCGACTTTGCACTATAGTTTAGTGAAATATGCCAAAAACGATCGAAATTAATTGCCTTTCACACCCCTTTCGTCTCTCTGCCCCTCCGTCTCGTGATTTGTGGCCATATAGCTTCGTTACGTTCCAGTGATCGAATTCGATTTTACAGTTCATTAATCGCGCCTGCTCGTAATTGTTTTTATCGCTGCCAAAGTAGTCGAGAATTTGTTACGAAGATCCAAGATCCCGCGATCATTGGGCCATGACAGCTGGATTGGATAGGATGGGTGCGGATCGGATTAGCAATCGGAATCGGGGTTCCCATCTGGCCGATCTCTTTAATCCACGATCGGATGTCGGCCAGTGCGCCAGTTTCTAGCAGTCAGCACTCGTAGTAATTTGCATAGCAAAGTGCAGCAGCAATCGGGCAACGATGTCATCCAGCAACAAGAAATAAACGGCGGCATCAATAAATGCACGCAGAGAAAAGTGTGGCAAATCGAATCGAAATAGCACCTTCGTAAGGCTAACAACCCGGGAAAATCATAAAAGATGTGCGAACAAATAACTGGCTCCATAAAATATTTAATTAACTTTACGCCTTTTCAAAAGTGTGCAAGCGTCAAAAATAATTAGTCATACAAAAAATATTAAAATGTCTGCAAAATCAGCCAACAGTTAAAATCAACAGCATTTTTAAAGTATTTACACTTAAAATCTGCATACTAAAAGAAGTAATAACTAAGTAAAAATATAAAATTAAATACTACATCATAAGTAACCATCCGAATTTGTTCATTTTATATATTTGCTATAGCAATATACATATATAATAGTTCCTATAGGAACTATTAAAATAATTTTGTAATAGTTAAATCTGAGAGTTACTTATAAAGACTATATCATAAAATTATGACATTTTCACTTTATTAACACAAATTTGTAAACAAATAAGACATTTTATTACTATTTGAAGTATGCTGATCATTTCACTTTGCTGATTGATGTTTTCGCCCGTGTACAGCACTCTCCCCTAAGAGTTAAGACTCTTTGGGAAGGAAAAAGTGTGTGGTTGTGGGGAGTGTGTGTGCACCGCACACCACCAATTGGGGTCAGTGAAAAGCTTTTAAAATGTTAACGCTATTTTAAATACGATATGTTGCTACGAGTATGACTATGCCTCGGCGGCCTGCAAAAATGTAGTCATCCCCATCTTCCTATCGCCACAGCCACAGCCAAACGACAGTAAAAGCGAGGCGATGGTAAGGTAATGATGGTTGTGATGATGATGTTGCTAAAACAAGACGCCACTCGGGGACCGTCGACTGCGGACTGCGGACGCTTCCAATATGCAAAGTAATCACAACACAAAAAGTGTGCAGACAACAAATACAACCGACAAAAAATAAACGACATGAGAGAGAAAAAGGGGTGTGTGAAATGGAAATGTGAACCATATGCAAATCGCGAATCGTTTGCCCGAATGTGTCTATAAATTTCGATGTTTTAGTGAAATTACCACGGTGAAAACTATTTGCCATCAAAGAGACGAAAACTTGAAAATTGCGGTTAATTGTTTTTGCCGCACAAAATCCACACCTTCATATGTGGGAATAATGCATAAATACGCCTGACAATGGATTACTACTACAACCGGAGAGATGTCAAGGTAATTGACCACTGCCAAAGCCAGAGCAAACAGCCCTAAGTATTTTTAGTAGGTATAAGCCATTAAGAGATTCCTATTTCTGGTAGCACTTGTTACTCATTTCACGGGTATTGCTCATACGACGCGTACTCCATAGACAATTAGCTTGTTGTGAGCCAGCGATGGGAAATCTGATTTATGGGAATGGAATGGTGGGGCGTTTAGCATATAAAAGTGTCAGATTGGCGCCTAACTTCTAGATTATAACTCAAGAATTCGCAAGGCGAAGGTGTTCCATTTAAAAAAGGGAAAGCAATCCATTAAGACAGTAGTCACTTTTAAATCATAATTTGTTGTTTCCGCTTCTCCTCGGTTTATTTATATTCCTGAAATACTTTGATTTATTTATTTATTAAAATTTAATAAATATTTCCCATCGTTACAATATCTCAAGTAATAAAATCTGTTGTAAAACTTAATTTCATATTTTTTTAAACTTACGATCAATATAGCTTTGTAATTGATTTTTATTGGTCTAGCAAATCGCTTTCAAAACTAAAAAAAAACTTTATTTCGAAAGCTGGCACCAATCGATAAACACACTTATTAAATTAATATAATATAATGCGTAGTAAACAGCTTGAAAAGCGAAAACTGGAGCTTATCGGCCCCAATTTAATCCACTTTCAAAAACCATTAAAAGATCATCTTGGATGATTAACAATCAATCGGCGATATCAAAAGTTTTTGCTGCCTGACATTTCTGCCACACGGCGACTATAAAATGTTGCAAATTTTTGAGCACAAAGGGGCCATCATCAAAAACAGTTGAGGCCGCGACGGATGAATAATTACCTCTTTGTGGTATCTCAGATCGAAAGGGAAAGGCTTCGACTTTGACTTGGACTTGGGCGTCGGAAATCGGCTATCGCCACAGTTGGACTCCCCGGTTAATCCCCGGGTTCGTTGGGCATATCGATGCAAATTAACGGGCCGCAATGCATATATGTCAACAGAGCCTCGCAAGTCCATTCATTAGTTCAATTAGCTTATCCCATCGCACGGGAGTTGCGCTTGGCTGGCCCTCCTGATACCATACCCCATATACCATATACCATCTGCAATACAATATAATTCATTAGCGCATATAAACTTTCGCTTTCGCAAGATCAAATCAAAGCAGTGCCTTTGTGCAGAGCCAAACCTGAATTACAATGCCAAATGCAAATATAGGAGAAAAATATACCTACTAGTTGGTGCATACAGTTGGGGTCAAAATAATAGGTTTGAGAATTATTTAAAAATTTGTGGTATTGGAGAATACATTTTTTGAATTTGTAGAGCAAGGTTTTATGATTATAACACATCATTATAAAATGTTTCTCTCTTCAAAAGCCTATAATAAATATGAATATATTCAATAATTACTTTAAATTCAAGGACAACATATAATGAAAAATAATTCTTAAGCAAGTTAAATCCAATAGACTGATCAGCATTTAAGTGACTGATTGTTGATAGCTTAGATTGACCCCACAAGCAGGTCATTTACTTCCGGGGAAAGCATCTCGGGCGCTATTCTACTGACCCTGCCTGTTTGTAAGGCACCGGCGATGCCTTTTGATGGCTGCTGTTACACGTAATCGTCCACGGACCGGGGGAGTCGAACCCGGAACGTTGGAGCTCGGTATCGCTGCAGTGGCAGTTGCACCGATCGAAGTGAAACCTGTCTGCAGAAAGGAAAATCATTTCACACAATCACAATCACTTGGCCCGCGGCTTGTGCAAACAGACCGACAGCGAGACATAAACACACCCATGTGCATCCGAGTCTTAGTGTCTGAGTATCTGAGTATCTCCGTATCTCAGTTTCTGGGTATCTCCGCATCGTATATGGCTCAGCAGGTTGGGACTGCCGACAGATTTACAAACAATCCATCGAGCGTTTGAAATCGACCCGATGGCGCATCTCCGTCTCGCAACGTCGACGCTGCATTTAGCGCAATCTGCATATGGCATCAATAGATAGGCAGATAGAGCCATCAAAAAGTCCCCGAATGGATTCGAGTTAGGTGATATAAGTGCGGGGAATGGGGATTGGGTATTGAAACTGGGACTGGTACTGGTAATGGTACTGAAACTGTGGCCACTTGCTTAATCGCCCCGAGCACGTTGATCGAGTTCGTTAACCGGCCGTTATGCAAAAAGTTCTTTTGGAATCGATCCAAGAAATTACCATAACGGTTAGCTCAGTCTGGGTATCGGTCGGTGATCTCGGGGCCCGCTCTCCACGACAGCCGATAATTTCAATCGAAGACGTGCAGGCATGCGACACCAACGCCAGCAGCAATACTTCAGCAAAAGCAACTCCATTTTGGGCCCAGACCCTGGACTCTCATATACGTATCTCAGCACTGAGGAAAATATTATTAGGATCATGAAATAAATAGCTAATGCATTCTTAAAATGTAACTAAGAATAAAATACATATTTTCTAAATTTAAATGATAAATGGAAACGACATTTTGCGGATATTATTGTTTAAAAGATTTTAATTTTATAAATATAATCATTAAAATAATATGAAAATATTATTGTACATTAAATATTAAATCATAAGATAGCATTCTCATAGGTTTCTTTTAAAGTCTATAAATTCTCCCAAGCTCTATTAATTATTTTTCCCAGTGCGGTCAGTTGTGAAATGAAGCGATGTACGGTTGGTCATTGCACTGGCCGCACTGGGCTCTCTGGAAACCTTTTGGGTGTACGTCCACACCTTCATACCGTATACCTCGTTTCACAATTGATTAATGATTTCTCCGGCCCCAAACACACATGTCCAACGAGGCCCACAAATTAGCATAATGCTGCATTATGCGTATAATAACACTGCTATTATGGGTGTTATATAAAACATGAGATTGACATGAAAGTAAAACATAACTGGGCGTTGCTTGATTGGAAAGTGATTTGGCTTTTCGAACTGGGTTCGGTTCGTCTGCGATTGCTGGATTTTCGAGTTAGAGGCTAATTAGCTGACAGGGCAGATGGATGGCATCGTGACCATGAAAATCGTGATGAGAGCCCGCGATAAAGCGAAAACTTTGGTTTTTATGAATTCAATTGTGCGTGGAGTTTCGTGATTCACGACCAGGATCGATCGAAGGTGGATTGGTGGTCTTTGCTGCCTTGGCCCAGCTAATCCGACAATAAAACGCACCTTTCCTGCCCGTTTTGATCTCTCGACCGTGTCATTGAACCCACTTTGGGACCCACTGGTACCCATTGTCCGGATCAAAAGCAACCTGTACCTGTCCATAATAATGATTTGGCGCTTTTTAGCGAAAAGTGTGTCTGTCAGAAGAACCAGAAATCAAGTCATAACTGTTAACACACATGTAAAGAGCACACCGCAAAGCGGAGCGTTCTTTTCTTGGGGCCCCCGTCTTTATAAATAGTATACACACGGAGAACAGATAAAAAACAGATTCTTTTGTTAATTGCTTTGTCCATTCTGGGCCAGGTCGGCCGAAGAAAACGTGGGTAAACGCGAGTGATAGAGAGTGCTGCAATAAATGTATCTGTGGCACGACATTTTCTAATTTTTCACCCCGTTTTCCCATTTCCCGCAGATAACCCAACTCAAGAACATTGAGCTAATCAACAATACGAAAAATGCACATAAATCAGCGCTCGAGATGCGCACAACAATGAAGAGCAGTCAGCCGAATGGATTGGAAGATGCTCCTCCAACTCGCATGAGGGCCCCCGATGATGAGATGAGGGCCAGCACTTGGATGACGACGCTGCTCGGCAGCCACAGCCATCAGGCGGCAGTCAAGTCGAAGGTGAGTGAGTCACGGCTTAGAAATTCCACCGAACTCTGGCATTTTGAATAATCTCCCCCCTCTCTCTCTCTATCGATCTATGTGCCCCCCAAGGACCCCAATTCGGACACGGACTCGGCTCTGTCCTCGGCCCCGCCCTCTATTAGCCCGCAGCCGCCCTCCAGCGGATCCGACAGCGGCGTGATTTGGCAGACTGTAAGTAACTGGTCCCCGCCAGCAGGTAGACTTAAACTTTGAATTTGCAAATAACGCAAATCCATCGTATTTTAGGCATGAGAAGTTTGCTTTAAATCTAATGATTAATGGTAGTTTATGATCCGTGATTTATTAGTTATAGAAACTCTTCATTAGTACATCTCAGTTAATAGACCTTTGTTTTCTACTTAATTGCGTTTAAATTTATGCCTTTACATTTTATTGGTATAAGTCTATTTTCACTATAAATAAGACATTTTATGATTGCGATGTAGGAGGCTCTTTGTATAAAAGTAATAACTTGGTTTTAAAAGAATTTGTTATGCTTTTTAATGATAATTAAATTTGTAAATTAAACGTACATTAAAATAAAATAATTATTTAATTATATATGTTTTAGTTTTGTTTAATGAATATTAGATTAAATGTTCAATTTTTTATCGAGCCATTAATCGGAAAGAACAAAAAATGCATTACAAATATAATACAACTTTTAGTTACTTTAAAATATTTTTAAAAATTAAAAGGTTTTTCTAGAGACAGAAAAATTGTTATTCCAACAGACAAAAATAGAATTGACAGAAATGCAGAGGGTGTTCTGGATGATTTGTATAAAAGTAATTACTTGTTTTTTTTTAAAGAATTTGTTACGCTTTTTAATGATATTTAAATTTGTAATTTACATTCAAATTAAATTATTATTTAAATATATATATTTTTTTATTGATAATGAATATTAGATTACATTTTCCATTTTATATCGAGCTATTAATCAGAATGTGCAAAAAAGGCATTAAAAATAAAATACTATTTTAGTTCAGAATTACATTAAAATATTTTACAAAATTGAATGGTTATTCTAGAGATAGAAAAACTGTTATTCCGACAAACAAACAGGTGGTTGTAAAAATAGAATTGCCAGAATTGAAGAGGGTGTTCTGGATGATTTCCCAGCGATTCTAGATTAGTTTCCCTTGCGTATCGAGTGTCGACTGAATCCACCCCCGTTTTCTTGCAGCTGCAGGATCTGGACAAGCTGCAAAAGGAAGCGGAAATGTACCAGAAGGAGAACGAGCGCCTGCAGACGGAGGTGCAGCTGATGAAACAGGACCTGGACGCCGCGGAAAAGGCGGCGATGGGCAGCGGCAAGAAGCTGGCCCAGATCGGGGAGCTGATGCAGCGCATCCAGGAGCTGGAGGAGAAGCACTCGAGCTTCGAGGACGAGGCCAGCGAGCTGAGGGAGCAGAATGAACTCCTCGAGTTTCGCATACTCGAGCTGGAAGATGATAGCGATAAGGTAAGCGAACGGCACCCCGGAATGCGAATCACTCGAAAGCCTGTTTGTGAAACCACTCGAGCGAGTGACTCACTTGGCGGCTGTTTATGAATGAAAATGAATTGAGCCATTCATTCGAAGCCGACTCGAGTCCGCTGAGAGCTCAGAGCCAAGTTAGCGCCAAGTTGGCCAACTCAGTGTGCTAGAGTCTCTTTTAGTTTTGTTTGGCATCTAAGCCAGCACGGAAATTGTTTTGGTTTAACGGCAACAGCAATCTTTCTGTTTTCCAATTGCAATTGTTTCACTGGAGCAGCCGCAGTTGATGGCTAACTCATTAGTTTGCGTTATAAAATATTCAGGAATTGAAATCTGTGGTTAAACTTTCCAAATTGCTAGTGAGTCTGCGCCGCGGCTTTATGTCACTACTTCGATCTGTGATTTGCGATCTGTGATTTGTAACTTGTGACTTGTGATCACCGCCTACAATTTTACCACACACCGCTGACTTGGCTTCTTGGCCTTGTAGACGATTTGGCCTAAGAGTTGTTTTAGCCAAATCGGAGTCGAGCGCTTAAAACGCTGCTTATAAGGGTAGCGCCCTAAGTGGACGCCATCTACGAATCTTGTTATACTTATGAGTGTTTTGTCGTTACTCATAGACAACCAAATCCAGCCAAAGGCTTTGTTTGGCCCCACACCTTAGTGGTGCCCATTAAATGGAGCGATTGAAGGTATATTGAATGAGCAGAAAAGTGTAGGGATTTTTATTATCGGGTATTGCACTTAAAAACGTAAAAGTCTTAAAAAGGATTTATATGTGTTGTGTTGTTTTCTATCAAATATATAGATTTTGTGGTGATATCAAGGTGTTAAATACTTATAAAGAATATATTTTAAATAAGTTTTCCCTTTACTAAAAATACTTGTTTAAAACTATGTCTTCAAATAATTTATATTTATTATATGATTACGATTTTTCTGTGATTATACCAAGGGTTTTAAAAATGTATACAGAACTTAATTTGTTTAATTGCTTCTTAATTCAAAACTATTAATAGCTTTCTAGTTACCTATAAGATCTCTTATGTTTTCTTATCTCCACTTATACGTATGTAAAGTTAAAGTTATCTAGAAGGTATCTCCTCTTATCTTCAAGATTTTTAGTAGGTATCTCCAGTTCGATGCCCTCCATCCGTCAATCTTTTCTGCTGATTTTCAGTTTCGGTACGTTTAATTTCTAGAGCCGAACAGTTTCAGCTGGCAGTGAAGTCGTTCAGCTTGAAAATCCAATTCACTCGCCTAATTGCAATAACCAAAAGTAATTATTCGAGCAGCTAGCAAAGTGAAATTAGTCGTAGATCGGTTTGCACATGAGAGTGTGTCAGTGGCGGCAGCGGAGCATAAAGCCAGTGTTAATTTGCCTAAGTAACTGTTAAGTTAAGTAGCAGAATATATCTAAATCAATTCGCTTCGATCTAAACCAGATGGAGAGCACCTGCGAGGGCCACTGCCAGAGTCTGCAGGATCTGCTGGAGCAGTCTGCCCAGCAGCTGGAGGATCGGGACAAGCGCTGTCTGCAGCAATTGCTGCAGTGCGTCCAGCAACTCGATCTGGATGCCATGATGCCAAGCGATCAGGTATGTAAATTAAGTAGTATAATAATGAGTACACACAGAGAATTTTTCAAGAACGGTGCACTTAAATTGAGAACTTTCTACTCAAAATAAAACCAAGTACTCACTTTAAGTAAAACTACTCACTTTCAGTACAACTTTTTTTAATAAAATACCTTGGAGTTAACTCTTTTTAGAGATTATTTTCTCAAAAAAAGGGGACAAATAAGGGGGAAACAACATGGTTAAAGAATTATGTTTTTTTTTCAAAATTTGTCCACAAAATCAGTATTTCCTCTAATTCAGAGTACAAATACTTAATTTGAGAACGTCAGTCTTGTTGAAAAATGTTCTCTGTGTAGGTTGTTTGGTAGGCATGCAATAATTTAAATTAATAATTAAATGGTTGAATTATAAAGCTTAATCTAGAAAAACCTTCTAGCTCTAAGTTTCCAAGATGGCTTAACTATAAATCCCATCATTTTAGCATAGCTAGCCAATTTAATGTATTTTATTATTTTAAATTATTAATTAAATGGTCGAATTATGAAGCTTAATCCAGAAAAACCTTCAAGCTCTAAGTTTCCAAAATGGTTAACTATAAATCCTATCATTTTAGCATAGCTAGCCAATTTAATGTATTTTATTATTTTAAATTATTAATTAAATGGAAAAACCTTCAAGCTCTAAGTTTCCAACTATAAATCCCATAATTTTAGCATAGCTAGCCCATTTATGTTTGTCAGTTACTCTTAAAAAACAAAAGCAGAGAGTTTTGCGAGCATATACAAACCACATATTTATTGATAGCCAACATATTTCCCTTAGCTTTACTCGTTTTAACCGCCCTTATGCATATTTTGGACTAAGAAATCGCTAAAATTCAAGTTTTGTTTTATTTTTTCACACAGAGCCACCAGCGGAGGCACAACAACCCAACCCAAAGTCACAATCACAATCACAGGATCGTAGCCACTGTTCAGCCGTATAGCAACTGTGCCACGCCCACAGCCCCGCCCACGCCCAGCAAGAGGCACTGCAGCCAGGTGAGCAGCTCGTGGCAGAGCAGCAGCCTCAGCGAGAGCGGAGTGTTCGTGGAGTGCGATTTGCCGTCGAGCACCGTTGGCGGAGGCCATCCGCACCTGCAGTTCTACCAGGAGCGACTGGAGCAGCTGGAGGGCAAGCTGCTGATCTACGAGAGCAGCGGAGACGCCCAGGCGCGGCACTTGGCCCAGCGACTGCAGCGGGAACTGCAGCTGGAGAAGGATCTCAAGGAGCTGGGCGACCGGGTGGAGCTGCTGACCGAGCAGAACGCCCAGTTGGAGGAGGCCAAGTGCGAGTTCGAGGAGGCGGAGAACGACACGCGGCTCCATCTGCAGCGCAACGAGGTGGAACTGGAGATCCTGCGGCAGCGCAACGTGGAGTTGGAGTTCGGCAAGGAGGCACTGGGCGCCAAGTATCAGGACTGCCGGGCAGAGGTGCTGATCCTGCGGGAGGATCTTGCGGCAGCGGAGACGCAGCTGGAGCATCTGCAGACGGAGAGGAAGCAGGCGAGAAAAGAGCTGCAGGATCTAAGGAGATCGCTGCCCTTCCTGCTCATCTGTCGTCTATTCTCCTTGGCCAAAATGGGCAACGTATCCTCTTCCCCGGAGGCCAGTCCCCGTCTAACCTCGGGCTACACTTCTTCCTTGGGTCCCGACTCCCGAGCCAAGCTACAGACATCGGATTTCGGACTTGCCGATCCCGGCGAGGGTCGTGAGATCACCTACCTCAAGGAGGAGGTCAAGAGCCTGCGCGGCCAGCTGAAGGAGCTGAATGCCCGGCACTACGAGGCCATGGAGACGGCCGACTCGCACTGGGTGGACCTGGAGCAGCAGTACAAGGAGCGCGAGGAGGCGTACCGCTCGAAGGAGGCCAGTCTCAAGCAGAAGATAGCCCAGCTGCAGGACTGCCTGCGCGAGGATTCGCGGGCGGCCACCGAGAAGATCCAGCAGCTGGAGGAGGGCGAGCAGGCGCTGAAGACCTGCCTGGTGCGCATGACCAAGGAGCACCGCGATCTGCTCACCGAGAACCGAACGCTGCAGTGCAGCGTGGAGAGCGTGATGGCCAAGATGGAAATGGAGGCGGAGCACAAGATGCCCCTCACGGAGGCACTGGAAACGGAGAGACGCCGCAGTCAGGCTCTAATGGACGACCTGAGCTTTGCCAAGAAGGTGCAGCAGAACACCGAAGATCAGCTGAGACAGGAGACGGACGCACTGCGCAGCCAGATCTTCGACATCAAGAAGGAGTACCTGCACATCGAGGTGACCAACAGCGAGCTGAAGGAGGAGGTGGGCACGCTGGAGAACAAGATCCGGCAGATGGAGGGCCAGATGAAGGACTCGGAGGAGCGGGCGCGCTGCCTGGAGGACGAGCTGCGCACCAAGGACGAGCAGTGCCAGCTGATGGAGCGCAAGCTGGGCGTCATGCCCGAGGGCTACAGCCTGGCCGACGAGCTCTACGACAGTCCTGCGAAGCGGGCCAAGAAGGACGAGGTTCCGAATCTGCAGGCCGCCAGCCAGGGACTGGGCGTGGCACTACTCGAACTGGAGGTGGGTTAATATATATCAGTGCTGTCATTTTGTCCTTTTTCGGACAGATTTCAAATAATCTCCTGTCCGGAAATCTGTTTTTTTTTCAAAAACAAGGTTTTACATGTTAGTTTTGCTAGTCGTTGGTTTTGGTTGGGTTTTTATCATAAAAAATCAAATAACTTTTCGATTTTATCTTTTAAAGCTGGTTAAATGTAAACCTTTTGCTTATTATTTTTATACTATTTGATTTCAAGAATTTTTTACGACCTGCCAAAGTTCAAAAATTATGTTTTTTGCTAAAAAAAATTTGACTTTTCGTTTTAAGAAAAACTTTTAAAGGTTACAAAATAAAAAAAATCTCTTTTAAGGGGGCGGTTTTTTATACAGAAAAATAATTTTAAAAACGATCGATTAAGCAATGAAGAAATTTAAATTAGTAATAAATTTAACCTATTAACAAAAACACAAAAATATTGAAGAAGTAACTTTTGTCCTCTCTTTTGCCCTTTTTTATTTTTTTTCCTCGTTTTTTTTTTGGTTGATCTGTCCGGTTTTTTAAGCTGATTGATAGCAGCACAGTTAGTTATTTTACAAATTAATCCCTAATACATATCCCTAACATTCCAGGGTCGCGACTTCGATCTGCCCCTCCACAAGGACTTCCAGGCGATCGCCTGCAGCGTGAAGCATCTGGCGGACACCCTCCTCTCACAGAGTCCGTCCGAGGTGAGTCTAGTTACCAGCCATCCGGTGGTCAAGTCAGATGGCTTGGCCAAGGCCCAGGATGCCTCATCGATTAGAATAAGTGGGGCAGGACTGTCGACGGTGACCAGTGTGGAGAGTCAGGTGAATCAAGCTAGTCAAGAAGGTCAGGGAAGTCAGGAAGGTGGTCCAATTATTCAGGAAAGTGAAGCAAGTGAGCCCATTAGCAAGAAAACTAGTTACCTAAGTGTCCAGGCATCCTCATCGCGACCCAGGGGCTTTAAGGTGGGCAGATCCCGCCAAAAAGGAAGGCGATCCCGTGGAGGAGCCGATAGCCATACTGATCTTAAGCAACAGACCATAAGTAAAGCACCAGAGGAGCAAGAGAAGAAAATCAGCGAGGTGCCCTCCTGCATGAGGCAGCTCAGTAAGGAACCCGAGAGGAAAAGCAAAAAGCGGACAAAGGAGGAGGAGCATCCCCATCGTCGCCAGCGCTCCATGTTGCGGCGTTTCATCTTCCGACGCATCTACCGTGCCCGCATGCGCAGTGGCCTGGGGAATAAATCTCTGGGATTACCACTCCAGCAGAGCCTCTCCAGCAACAGTTTCCACTCGTTGTTCTCGGTTCAGACAGCTCACTCTTCGCGATCGGGCGTTTCACTGTGCTCCCTGCATGCCGAGGTCATTAATCTCGATTGGGAATCACTGGCCAGCGTGTCCTTTGTGCAAACGGAGGAGCTTAAGAGTTTGGAGGAAGCGATTCAAGCCACTCCTGATTGCGCTGAGCAGGAAGTCCAGGTGCAGCCGGAAACCGTAGAGTGCGGAACACAGGCGGATGTGGGCGTGGAGCAGCGGCTGCTCCTGATGCCCCTGAGAACCAGGTGCTTCGTGGATCTCCTCCAGGGTGCAGTGGACGGGTACTTCGATCTGTCCGCCTTTCGCACTCGCCTTCTTCACTTGTGGGAGGACGGGGAGGATTTCCGGGAGCACCTAGAATTCCTGCAGGACATGTGGACGGAGAAGAATCAGCAGGAGTCGCTGGAGAGCTACGAGGGATTCGTGGCAGCTCTCGGCTGTGTCCAGAGTCTAAAGCAGGCCCTCAAGCCGGCAACTTCGGCGCTTCTGGATCAGATCGAACAGAGGATCCATGCCAGACTGGTGCTCTATCACAATCAGAAGATGGAGTCGGAGTTCTGCTGCACGGTGTACATTCCCGTAGAGCGGAGCAACTCTTTGATGCTCAGGGGTCCCAGATGAGTCAATTTCGATACTCCAATACTCCATACATAAATGTAAATTACCAAGTCTATCAGGGCTGTCAAATAATAGATCATTAGATTAAACATGAGATTTGACTGTATCAGTTAATGGGAAGTAGAGCCCTATATTGGGGTTCGAAATGCATAAGCTGATTACTAAATTGGATAATTGGTAATTCAATTCTTTTTTAACCTGAATCAAACATTTTCATGCCTTTTACGTTTGGGTACAATTACAACCACCAAAAAAAAAAATTAACCAATATAATTGCCAAACAGTCCCCAACCACAAAAATTGTGAATTCTACAAATCAAATAGTTACTTTCACAACAACCAATACACACACTTGGCAAAGACACACCTACTTAATTGGTAAAATTGGCAATTTTCTGTGGTTGTGGACTTTTTGACAATTTTTTATCAAGTTTTTGTGTGCAGTTGAAATGAATTTGGTAGTATTTTTCAACTATTTATGCTGTAGCGGATGTCCAAAAATGATAACATACAATTTGTATTTTTAATGAAAATCAGATAAATTGAAAATGTAAGGTTTCTCCATTTGTTTGGCATCAATAAGGCCTTGAGATTAGTTTCCCCATCCAGAACCATTTGTTATATCGGTAGAATCAGATCGTTTCGAAATTTTGTATTGGTTGAGCATTATGATGGCCGAGAATGAGGACATGGACACCTTCCACGACTGCCGGAGTGACGACGAGGAGACCGAGACTCCGGAAATGGCAGTGGGTGGTGGCGACGAGGTGATCTGCAAGCAGGCGGCCCGCTTCGACGATCCCGTGCAGATTCGGGCCGTCCTGGAGCGGGCTGCCACTGCCACCCAGCGTCTCTTGAGGTGCTATGGAGGCACCGATTGCGTGCCCATGCGTCCCTCGATGACCCGCTTCTATCCGGCAACCCTGGAGGTCAGTGCCCGTCTTCACACGGACGACAAGTGTCCCTGCCCGAAGGACAGACAGTGCAAGCTAATTGGCGACCCGGTGACCCTGAGGCTTCCCATCGAACTGAATCCAGAGAGCGGCCAGGTCAAGGTCAACATCTTTCAGCCAAAGTCAATTGGAACCTTCTGCGGCTGCAGTGCACCCGCAAGTCAAAACAAATCCAAGAACAGGAGGTCCAGTGTGAGATGGTGCAGCCATGAGAACGTCTATGCCGAAATCCAGGAACCTAATCAAAGCACATGAATACCATAGTTGGCTGACTATCCATCTTTTAATATCCGCAAAGTAATTGATTTTCGTCCAAATTTATTCAATAGGTAATTTGTATGTTTTTTATTTGTGGTAGTAGATAAGGATTTTTACATAGCTTTTATCAGTCAGTAATGGAAAGGGTTAAAAATGGTATAATTGAATACGAGCATCCCCGCAGCTACGGAATTTAATTATAAGAAAGCCACTAACCGCAAATCCCGAGGCGTATTTTTGACCAAAAAAATAAAAGTCAACTTTTATTTATGACTTTTATAATAAAAGTCTAAAAATAACTTATTTTTTATTCTTTTACTAGAAAATCATTAAATAACTTTTATTTGGTTATCGAAAACTTTAGTCTCTATTGTTGGAATTTTAAAGGTTGCTAATTGTACTTATACACAGTAATTCTTCAACATAATGAGATAGCGAATTCTTCAGACCAAGAGGAACCACTAATGACCATGGTCACAATTTTATTAGTGCCATTCATGACTTCTTTAACGTAACGAGATCGCAAATTCTTCAGACCAGGAACCGCGATTTCTTTATTCCTATTGGTAAAAAAATAACTGTTATTCTCTGACTTTTAATTTAAAAATTTAACAGTTACTTCATGACCAATTTCAAATAAGCTAAACAAATGTAGGTCACTGCGGATATGAAAAAACCGCATTAAATTGGTTAAGTGATTTTTTTCTCAGGTTTTTAGTGCTATCCTAAACGTATGATGTTTTTGATAACAAATAATAAAATAATAAAATAAAATAGTTTGATAGTTGGTTGTGAAATCATAGGAGTTACGAAGTAACCCCCTCTCTTCTGTCACTTTTTCGACCCCTTTAGAATCAGTATTTTAGACACAATCGAGCAGGCAACACACACTTGAAAATTTAATGTGAGTTCAGAGCTTGATTCGGGGAAAACAGTTCTAGCAGTTCGAGCGTCATGGACGAGGAACTCGCCAATCCGCCGGTTGATCCGAGCATAGAACCGAGTGACTATTCGCGGGGTCGCTTCGTCAGCCGGAGCACCATCACATTGACGCGCGGCATGGACTCCACCCGACTGCTCTACATGGGCGACAACTTCCAGCAGACGCGCAGCGACCAGGACATCTTCTTCGACTGCCAGGGTCCGGCGGAGGACTCGCCGAAGGAGGGACGCAGTGCCGCCAGTCGCTGCAAGCTGGACGACCCGGCGGCGATAAGAGAGGCATTAGAAAGGGCCGCCAACGCCACCCAGATGCTGCTCAAGAATTTCGACAAGGCAGGCGGTTGGAATCAACCCTGTGCCGTCACCCTGGAGCTCACAGCGCGACTGGTGGACCCAAAGAAGGGTCGTGCCGGCTGTCCGCTGCACGGGAAGCCCGTCACCGTCCAGATGCCACTGGAGTTCAATCCGCAGAGTGGCAGGGGGCTCACCTGCCAGCAAAAGCATCCGCCGCCGCGCAAGGAGTCCATCTGCCAGTGCCGCTCCCACCACCAGGCGATGCGTCCTGCATCCCGGGCGCCCAAGGCCAACTCAGGTAAATCCGCCAGCGAACAGCAGTTCCCTTCGTGTTGTGAGTCGCGCCAGGTGACCGAAGGGTCCAATTCCTTGGGTTCCACCTACATGGGCAGCTGTGGGGACTCCACCTCGCGGTATAATCCCTGCACTCGGGCCACCTGTGGCCACTGGTACGACGTGGAGGCGCGGGAGGTGATCTCCATTTGCTACCTGCCTGTACCCATCCCGCAACCCCTCGAACCTGAGCCACTTTTTGTGCCGCTGGAGGAGCCACCGGTTGAGGAACCCGAGGAGAAGGAGGAGCCAGTGGAGCACTTGATGGTCTATGCCCCAGAACCAGAGCCGGAGTACCGGAGCACCGAGTCCGGGGAGTCCGAGGAGATCGAGTCCAGCGAGGAGGAGGCGGAGGAGCCGATGGCACCGCCGCCGGAACAGCCGCCGGGCAAGAAATACTACCTGGCGCTGCCCCAAAACAAGGAGTTCTCCAACTGCTCGCCCTGCCGCTTCGATCCCAGTCCCATCATGGACGAGGACGGCAATGTCTTCTGTCCCGGCAACTGCGGCTGCTGCATGTGTCCGTGGAAGAAGCGCTCGATGGCCCAGAACCAGGAGCACATCAATGTGAAGGTCTGCCGCTGCGTCCAGCGCGGCACCATCTTCACCAAGTTCGAGGATCGGGAGGTCTGCAGCCAGACCTCCTACTTCGACTTTTGTCCGTGCCGCGAGAAGGCGGAGGCCAAGTTCCTCGAGTTGTACCACGTCGAAATGTATTCCCGGCCGGACATCACGCGGGGCCGCCAGATCCAATTGACGGAGATCAAGGAGCTGCTCGTCCCCATAAGCCATCCAGCCGAATAAAATTGTGTTTGCCCATCGAATCGAATTATGTTCTAGCCGGGGAATCGACCGGAAACGGTTTTCGGTAGCGGTTCGGTAGCGGTTAAGAGCCCTCATCTTTTGAAGCCTTAACCGCATTTATAGAGTAAGCGTAACGTAAGCTTTCTTGATTAAATGACCATGATAATGTCATTAATAAGATTTAAGGAACTTTGGAATTATAGTACATTTTTAAATTTCTATATCTGTTTATTTGGAAGATCCATAGATCTATCGTTTTAAGATAGAAATGTGAGAAGATTAAGGGCATTAAGACATTATTTTTGGTAATTGACCCAAGCTGAATTATCTTACTTGAGCGGCTAAGGCTTCAAGTTTCCGAAATATACGGAATATATTCGGTAGATTGGTGATGATTCCAATATAAAAGTTAAGCAAGCAAGAACAAATGTTTGCAAGTATTAAAATGAACAACTATCGTAATTAAGTCGATATAAAATGGGTTATGGTATGGGTTTATAGGGAACATTTTAACTATTCTTCTTTTAATTATTAATATGTCTTTATACAAAACTTTAATCTCACGGTTCTCGCACTATTCTCACCCCCAGAATGCCCGGCTCTGATGTACGTGCAGCATGAGCGACATTCCGACAGCGACCCCAACTCCCGCCACCAACAGACCGAGCAATCCTACCTGAAAGATCACTGGAAGCCGTCGAAGACCCCACAGTCCGAGCCATCCGAGTGCGAGGATCCGCATGCCAAGCCCTCGCAGACGGAGGCCTCCTATTTGCGGGAACACCACACGCCCAAGAACCCGCAGTCCCAGCCGCAATCGGAAGTCCCATTGGAGGAGGTTGGTCCTTCTTGCTCCTGCAAGGACAAGCGATCCAAGTCAGCCGATCCACCGGCGGTGAAGAACCCACCTACATGTACCTGCCACACGGAGACCCTTCCCTGTGGAATGGGCAAGCCAGCCGTCCAGAAGAAGCCCTGCTCCGTGAGAACCTCGTTGTCCGAAAGGAGTGGTCAGGCTTCCTCGTTCAAGAGTGCTCTAACCGCTTGCACCAAGGAGCTCATCGATCACTCCTGCACCTGTGGCTCCTCCCAACCACCCTACTGGGCGGGGCAAAGCAACGTGGTTAGCGGACAATCCATGGATCCCAGTCACTCCAAGGCCAGCGAGCCCTACTTTATGAGCAACTTCACCATCGCTCCCCTGGGGGAACCGGGCAAACCCAAGAGCAAGCACTCGCGATCCAAGAGTTTGGCCAGTCTGCCCGATAAGTCGAGTCGCCCGAATCAGAGCGGGGTGACTTGGTTGTCCGCCCTAAAGGATCCGGACACCGAAGGCTGTCCCAGCAATGCCACCCAGACCAACCAGGATCAATCAATGTCTTCCTTTCCTCCCAGCCAGACTAACTATCGCAGCATGACAACCAAATCAAGTGCTTCCCGGTCGAGGAACCCGTACAGTCAACCCTCCTTTGGGTTGGACGTAGACACCTCGGCCACCACACGATCGCAGTCGATAGTGGGCAAGATCACCTGTCTGTGCGGCTCGGAGCAGCAGCCTAACTTTGTGGCTAAGCTGACTCATCAGGATTGCTTAGAATGTGCTGGGGAGAGCAGAATCCAGCCATGCGCCTCCACCAGGATACAGCATCCATCGGGATTCTCACAGTTTGAGGATTGCCAGGAGCCCGGTGCCTCTTTCCGTTCCAGGAAAGTCAGCATGAAGGATCACGAAGGAGAGTTCTGCGACTGTGATGATTCGGACAAGTCCTCTGACCTGTCCGATCCCATCCAGACCAGTCTCCACACGCACCGCAGTCTCTCGGGCGGCAGTTGCCTCTGCAATGACGATGAGCCTCCTGGCCAGGATCCCTCGAAATCAGAGTGCGTCAGCAAGGAGTGCCAGTGCTATCTGAAAGATGATCTACCAGAAATGCAGAGTGCCCAGGAGGGCACAGGCTTCCAGACACCCGAGGATCTCTGCGGGAATAAGAGCATGGCCTGCTGCACTCGCAAACAGCGCATCATGCAGTTGATGGAGAAGCTTACCTCCTCCGGATGCGATTGCGGCGAATCTCGCGCCTGTCTGATCCAACAGCTTTTCCGGGAAATGACTTTACTGCTGAGATCGGAGAAAGAGGATGCAGTGGCCCCGGCTGACGAGCCAAGTCCACCTTGTCTGCACTTCGATGAGTGCTGTGCGGCCCAACATGACGGCAAAAATGAGGAGGAACCCGGGGAGAAGCCCATGTCCAAGAGACAGATCCAACGAGTCGAGTGCTTCCATCAGCTGGAGGAATACCTCCGCAAGTGCTACCTTCCGCCGCCAGAACCGGAGATCCCAGAGACGGATATCTACGCCTTCGAACTGGATCCAGACTTTCCACCAGACGAAGAACCCCAAAAACCTTGCAATGAGTCAGGGAAAATGCCACCTTGCCAGGAGAAATACTTTAATCTTGGCAATCCCTTGACCTGTTCAGGTGATGGCCTAGATGGCGATTTTTTCCGTGACTGCGAGGAAGTTGAGGAGGAGGAGCACAAGTGCGACTGCAAAGAGGAGTGCCAAACCACCGAGCCGCAGGATCTTTGCCAGTCGCTGAGAGCCTTCATCGACAAGGAACTGCAGGAAATTCTAGAGGCGGAGAAACAAAAGGAGGGCAACGAACTGGAACCGCAAAAAACACCGAGTATAATACTAAAGGAAATCTGTGAGGGATCCGCGACCAAAGTGCCCAGCGAAAGAGAGGAGAAAACCGATCCCGTTGAGTGTCCATTTGCCGGCATGGTTTCCTGTCCTCGGAAGGACTGGGCGTCCTATCCCTACAACTTTGATCCCTGTGCGCAGAAGGACCCAGGTCCCAAGGCTCCACGTACCGGTTTGCTACCCGATGGACCCCTGCCACCCAGTGTGAGGAATCTCTGCGAGCAGCTGCTCCGCAAGGCGCTCAAGGATTGTGGGCTATGTGGTGGCGATGAGACAACTCTGCACTCCTGCGAGGAGGAAGAGGCCGTCGAATGCCCGCCCGAATGCGATCCATGCAAGGAAGACGGTCCTTTGGAGGAATGCCCAGATGAATGTCCACAGGAATGCCCCGACGAAGGCGAGGAGGAGGAGTGCCTGGCGTGCCTGACCAAGGAGGCGCCCGAACAGGGATGCCTCTGCTGCCACTGCCGCGCCCTCATCTGCGACGAGGAGTGCAAGACGGTCTCCAAAACCCTGCGCTCGGCCATGTGCGATCCACTCTGCGAAATGGTAAAGTAACTCTTCAAATATATTTCTTCTCTGGTCTTAATAAAATTCCTTTTTCCCAGAAATACTTTATAGACTCGATGATCATAGATCTGCACGCCATGGACTGTGTGCTGGGCAACAAGCAGGCAAAGCCCAAGGTAATAATAATAACACTATTCAGGGTATATGGTATCTTAACAGGTAAATATATTTATCATATTCCCCAGAACATTAGGGCAAATGATGCAACCAATAGGACAGGACCTGGGGATAGTTTCCCGGCTACGATTTCATGCGTCACCAGTCTGGGTTGCACCGCTCTCTACGTCAGATGGAAAGTGGAGGACTGTCGCGCCATAGCAGGATTCGAGGTTGGGAATCCAACATCCAAAACTTAAGGAAACATTTTCAAAAACCCTTATATATTTTCCAGATTTACGTGGATGGGCATTTGACCAACAGATTCTACAGTTTTCGCCACGAGGCCGGAGTGATAACCAACGTGGATGTGACCAATCCCCACCAGATTGTGCTGCGTGCCCAGGCGGTGGGTCAGGACTTTCCCGGCGAGGATGGGGGCAGGGGGAAGCCCCAGGAATGCGGCTGCCGGGCGGTGGCACTTTCCCATCCGGAACTGTCGGCCGGAGCTGAGAGGCCGTGGATGCCCAGTGTCTTCTATTACGATCCCAACCAATTGCCGCCGGACGGAGGCGGCCAAAAGTGCTAGTCAAGAATCACATATATACATATATCGAATATCGTCTGATATCAATATCATCACCGTTATCGGAACAAAGGAGCCCAGCGCTCCCTCACGTTTTAGCTTGTACATATAGCGTATTTATATGTAGTGTTTGTTAAGAGTTGTTTTTCGCGAAGGATTCAAATTATCCGTATGTAGTGCTTTACATAGTGCCTTAACTCGTAATACTAGCTCTTAAGCGGAGATCAATGCATTGTAAAGGAATTGAAAGCAGATCAAACCATTCAGATGGCACGTGTTAGTTGACAAAAACCAAAATCACTTTGAATAAATGAATCTCATTGTTAGAGATGCAAAAAGTTATTGCTGTGCATTCTGTTTTTGAAAAGGAAAAGAGAAAAGAGGGCCTCATTAATGGAATAATTCTACGCAGAGAAAATTATACAACGATTTAGGTGCCGTTTTCATATAAAAAAGTTTTAAAAATAAAAATAAAAACGTTTTAAAAATGCAAAGTAAAATAAATTTGTATAAAACGTTTTACTTTTTAAAGTGTTTCACCCCTTATTTTGCATCTAAAACTTTTGATAATTTTCTCTGTTGTAGAACTTAGTATACAATTTATTAAAAATTAAACTAAAATTGTGTAAAAAGAAATTTGATCATAGCTCATTGCTAAAGCAATTGCGTAAGATATATGTTTTTTGGCTTGGTTGTTGTAGTCAACACACAAGTTTGTAAGTTTTTCCTTATCAGAAAATGTCAGGCGGAAAAGGAGGAGGTGGTGCAGGCGGAGTCGGAGGAGGTGGCGGTGGTGGGCGTGGTGGTGATGGAGGTGTAAAAAATGGCGGTCGTGGTGGAGCTGGAAAATCGGAGAACGAAGAAAAACCAAGGCAAGGGGAAAAGAAAAAGGATGAGAAAAACCCGAGGGATGGAAAGGATGGAGGATCTGGACGTGGTGGCGATGGAGGCGGTAAAGGAGGAGGTCGGGGAGGCGAGGGAGGAGGGCAGAAATCGAAAACCCCCGATGACAAAGAAACCAACGATAAGAAATAAGAAAGTCAGTTGAATAATCCAAGGGATAATATATTTAGTTGGCCCACAATAATACTAATTCAAATTCTAACTGAAAGGCCCAAATCGGCTCTCCATATTCTGGAAAATGTACGAGCAGCTTTGGTCATCGTAGGATGGCTCAATCTTATCGGCCGTAACACTGGCCAAAATCAGGAATTTAGTTTCTGGGCTCTGGAAGCGAAAAAGTGATAAGGTTAAAAATAAATGGTACTATCATAAGATTAACTTAAGTACCTCCTTGGGTTCGTTGTGCTTCCACAGATCGTTGGCCTCCAGAAAGGTCTTTAGGAGGATGCGCCACTGCCAGTAGTTTTCTTTGCCATGTAGCTTGGGTATCGAATGGAAATCCAACTGCAGGTGACCCATTTCGTTCCACTTTGCCGCACCGAATGATTAGAACTACCCAAGTTAACTAGTTAGCTAGTCAGTTGGCTGCACCTGATATGAAAGCTCGAAAGCTTTTCCTATCTGCGACTTAACATTTGCCCAGTTTAACAGCTCTAGTCGGGGATTTGGTGCTAGATCGAACGGAATGTTGTCGGTGGTGTGAATCATTAAACAAATTTCAGCGACAAGTTGTTAACAGTTTTCTGGGGTGCAAAGGGAAAATTCGAATGCTTTTCAAGCGGAAAGTGTCAAACATGAATCGCCTCCAAATTGTTTGCAATTAAACCATTAAGTTATTAGAATCAAATTTAATGGCTAAAAAATGTGGAGCAGCTAAAAAATGATTTGTTAACAATGGAAACATTCGGCCGAATGAAATTATCGAACCAGAGAGTTGTCAACACGACGCATCTAGACTTAATTTATTTGGTACTTTACAGAAATACCCTTTTTTTGGGATAGGTAGTGGAAATATCAATATTTGTTAAAGTATTTGTTATTGAATTTCGTTTTCAATACGCTTAATTAAATGTGTTTATATGTGAATTGTATTACAATATACCCAAAAAAATCCGATATGAAACGCAGGTCGATTTTACATTATTTAAGATCAATTTGAATTTGATATGAGGCCAGGTAAATTTGACTTGGTCGAAAAAAAGTATTGCATGTAAAAACGATATGGGTTTTGCTTGACCTGAAATTTACATTTACGTAAACATGCTTTTTTTTGTGTAGCTTAGATTTTTTATATGGTACACACAAAAAAAAAACTTGGTAAAATCAACTGTAATAATTGTCAAACAGGCCCCAACCAGCAAAATTGTCAATTCTACTAAGTAAATAGTAATTTCACAACAACAAAATACACACAATTAGCAAAGACACAAACCCAAAGCAAAAACAAAATACACGTAACTATTTTAATAGTTACGTAACTATCTTTGTTGGTCAATTTTACCAAGCAAGTTTTTTTGTGTGTAAAAATGTTTCGAAGCGTATTTATAGGTAATAATAAAGAGTACTCCCACTTCGTAATGCATCTCCTATTCTCTTCCCCTAATTCGATTTTTATGATTGCTTTTTTGTGGCTCCATGCAGTTTGGAAAATCCCTGAGCAGAGGAGGCCATTCGTCAAGCAATTTAATAGTGGGAGCTATGGACAGGCCATCGCTATATAGCCCGTCGGAGCTTCGTCGTCTCGATTTAGTTGTCATTGGCTATGACTCAGTTCGGTCGGATGTGGTGGCTCCCACTGCTGCAGTGGCTGGTGATTGGAATAGGAATGAGGTGCGTGCAGGCCTGGAGCTTTGGGCCAGTTCAATCGGATGGGGGTCAGGATGCGGGTCGAGTGCCGCAACCCAGTGATGTGGGAAGCACGGCAAATCACACGAGTAAGTGGCTCCATTGCGAATTGTAGTAGTAGTTTCCTGGTTTTTAAGGCCCCTTCAGTACTCACCAGGCAGCTGATTGTGGGCACCCTGCTGCCGCCGCAAGTTTCGCCGGGCACCTGGCCACCTGTGCCCTCCATAGTGAATCCCGGAACCACCAGTTATTGCCAGTGTGTTCCACCGGGATCCTGTGCCAATCCCATTCCCACTGCACCCAGCGATGGCAGTGGCCAGCTGGACATCAGGATTGTCAATAACGGAGGATATGTAAGATAAAGTTTGTGATTCCGATACAACATCTGGGTAATCCCTTTCCCATTTAGCCCTCTATTCCCACCACTTCTGCCACACTGACCTGCAACTATGGACTGGTGGCCTGCTGCCAGGCGGGAAGCTATCAGTGTGGTCGCCGTTTTCCACCTCCTCCCGGCTCCTCGACGGCAGGAGCGGGTCAGGCGAGCTTTGGAGCATATCCCTGGCAGGCGGCTCTGCTGACCACCGCGGATGTTTACTTGGGTGGAGGAGCACTGATCACCGCCCAACATGTCCTGACCGCCGCCCACAAGGTTTACAATCTGGCGTGAGTTTGTTTCATATTGCTCCATTGATTAGTGATGCTTAAGTTAGGGATTTCCCAGGCTCACCTCCTTCAAAGTTCGTCTGGGGGAATGGGATGCCAGCAGCACCAGCGAACCGATTCCCGCCCAGGATGTGTACATCTCGAATGTGTACGTGAATCCCTCGTTCAACCCGAATAATTTGCAGAACGATGTGGCCATCCTGAAGTTGTCCACTCCCGTTTCGCTGACCAGCAAATCCACAGTGGGCACCGTTTGTCTGCCCACCACCAGTTTTGTGGGTCAACGTTGCTGGGTTGCCGGCTGGGGCAAGAATGACTTTGGAGCCACCGGAGCTTACCAGGCCATCGAGCGGCAGGTGGACGTGCCGCTGATTCCCAATGCCAACTGCCAGGCGGCGCTGCAGGCCACCCGCTTGGGCTCCTCCTTCGCCCTCAGCCCCACCAGCTTCATTTGTGCCGGCGGAGAGGCTGGCAAGGATGCCTGCACCGGCGATGGGGGTTCGCCTCTGGTCTGCACCAGCAATGGCATTTGGTACGTGGTGGGACTGGTGGCCTGGGGCATCGGCTGCGCACAGGCAGGAGTTCCGGGGGTCTACGTCAACGTGGGCACCTACCTTCCCTGGATTCAGACCACGCTGACGCTGTAGAAACTAGCTTCTGTTACCAATAAAATTGATTATCTGTGTTGGATTATTTTTTTAAAGTGGTGGCGAAGATTTGTTTTGGTGAAAAGGAAGGCTTTTTTTTCATAGAAGTCGAATCAAAACGATGAATTTAAACCATGAACCTTACAAAACTAGTGATTAAACTTTTGTTAGTGAAAGTAAACATCTTTATAATCCTAAAAATTAGTCCAACTTCCCGGGAGTATCACAGGCAAAAGGATTCATGGTTTGTTTTGCTGTTAAAATATTTTAAAAGTGACACTCTTTATCATTCGATCACCATACTCCGAATAATTGTAGGATTTTTTTAAGGGAGAAAAAATAAACGAAAACCTAGCCATAAAACGTAAAAATATACAGCTGCGGTCCAACTATCAGAAGTGCTCCGCCCTTCACTTTTTTAAATTTTGTTTCTGTTATGTAGTTTCCACTCTGGAAATCTTCTTCCACCAGTATGGCCGCACGCCAAAATGCCAAGATCACTTTTGAAATATTGGCATATTGTTAGCTTAAAGGATCGTAGGTATCCCCTCATGCACTTTTAGTTGACTTGGTAGAAAGAGTTATTTTTGATAATGTCCTTCTGAACAATGGTGTCAAATCCCAAATCCCAATGGTGTCAAATTCAAATGAGGCTGTAAAGGATAATCCTTTGCATATATTTGTATTTTTGTAAAGCACTATTTTAATTGAAATAATTTTACCCAAATCTCCAAAAAAGATTAAAGTTCACTCCTTCTTTCGAGTCTATACATACATTGTCATATAGCCAACTGACAATTTGAAAATGCAACATAACATTGAACACCGAGTTAATAGCGCAACCCCAGGAGCTCGTAGAGAGGGACCTCGGCCACGGATTCACTGGCGCTGGACTCCTCGAAGTCGCCGCTCTCCAGGAGATACTGGGGGCGTTCCAGTTCCGGATGGGCCAGATAGAAATCAATTAGGGCCGTGGTGCTGCGCAGGTGGGTTATGCCCTTGAAGATTTTCTCGCGGGTCAGCAGCTCCTCCGGATAGACAGTCTTAATGGCAGTATCGCCCGATCGTTTTAGCCAGGGGCGATCCTTCAGCGGCACAGTGCGTCCAAAGGCACTTAGCAGGGGTTTCTGATTGACCCGAGTGGCGTGATCATTGATGTGCTTCTCGTACTTCAGCTCAATGGCCATCTAAAAAAGAGATGCGTTATTATAAAGGTATTTCCGTTTATCATAAAATATAAATAAAGTACCCACATGCGGCTTGTTCCATTTATCGGCCACCGTCTGAGCTATGGCGTTCACCTCCTTGGGATCCGTTTTCACTGAGGCCAATAAGGTGCGATCACCCTTGATGGAGAACAGGTTCTTGACCTTCTCCGGGGTCAGATTGCTCTCCAAGGTGCCAAAGGAGTTCAACCACTCGACGAAGCGTTCTGCAGACTGTGGAGATTGAATTAAGAAAGATAGGTATAAAGCAATGATGACCAGCAATTTCTCTGCCGCTGCGCTGCTAGAGTTTTGACGCTCACGTACGCTGTAAATGCGTGCTTTTATTGTATGTGCGCTGCTTCTGCTGGCCACCACTGGTATAAAGTTTAGTTATTTCAACCATACTCACCGCATCCATGAGGTTCTCGGCCTGCTCGTCCAGCGTCACCATGGAGTAGTTCTGGCCGGGATGTTCGACGCGGCTCTGCCAGCTGACCCTCTTGTCCCGCGGGGCGCAAAGGAACTTGGCATACCAACTGGTCTTGTCCACCACGCGATGCGTGTGACCCACCGGCTCGTCGAGCTTCAGGTCGAACTGCTCGAACTCGTGCTCCATGCGCACAATATCCGAGTGCTCGCTCTCGTTGAAGTACTCCTCCACCTTCTTGCGGCCAATATCGAGGAGCTAAGATAGCCGAGGATTATTCGAGATCATCTTGGGGAAACCCTGAGGCGTTTAATACCCACCACCGTGTCCTCCTCCTCCTCGCTTCTCTCGGAGCTCTCCACGCTCATGTAGTCCTCGGGCCGCACCTCCTGCATCTCATCGCGGATGTAGATGTCCTCGTCGGACTTGGAGTAGTCGTAGTTCTGGATGCGCTTCACCCGCTCGCGCAGTCGCGGCGGCAGCACCAGGGAGTAGTCGATGACGGGAATGCGCGGCTGGAAGCGACAGGCGGCCGCGAACTCCACATCATCGATGGCCGCGTTCCAGTAGGCCTTGCCCACCAGCCCGTCGCGGTTGGTCAGCTTGGAGAATCCGCTCATCCCGGTGCTCGAGGATCGCTCCTTCTGCATCAGCTGCGGCTTGACCTCCATCCGCTTCTCCCTCACCGGCTGGCCCATCTTCAGACCCACGGTGGAGTCCAGTCGAGCGGAGCGCAACATCCGGTTGACCACCGGCCGATTGGACCGTGCCACAATCGTGTGTCGCACTGTCGACCCGTACGGGTGGTCTCGGTTCGCGGACATGGCCTCGACTGGGGCTGTAACAAAAATATTTAACGCTGGAGTATCGGAATTTTCGTTCGTGCCGTTTGTTTGTTCAATACGAGTTTGAGCAGCTGTCGTCCTATGACAACCAGAGTTTGTAGGTCAGTGTAGCACACTAGCAAACACCATATGATTTTTAGAAATGCTGTCTACTACTGTGTAAAAAAAGAAATTACTGCCCATACATTTTTTACTGATTGTCTGATTGTTTAATTATAATTATTATACCCGTTACTTGTAGAGTAAAATGGTATACAGGTAGAAGGAAGCGTTTCCGACCCTATAAAGTATATAGGATCTATAGGATCACTAGCCATAGATCACTACAAAAGCTAGACAGAAAGAAAAAGCTATCGATGTAAATTTGTGATCTCACAAAGTCTTATTAGTTTTAAAGAACCCCGGATTTGTTAAAATTAAATAATTTGCGTATGATGCAGATAAATTTTGTTTTTTATTCAAATATTAATTTGTATTTTTGAAAATATTTGAGTAGATACGAATATTTTTTGAGTGTAGGTAATGGCTTAAAAGAAATTAACCTATAAGCCTTCCCCAACCCGCGATTGACTCTCTCTACCACATACGACAAGTTTTGGCTGTTGGCCGCATGCCAGATCCCACGGGACAGTTGAAGGCCTGGAAAAAGTCTTCAGTGCTCGATAAGGCTGCAAAAGACATCCTCTTAAAATAGATCTTGTCATCGTAGCAAAGCCTCTGAGCGGATCCCAGAAAGAATAGCTGATTCGGCGACAGGTCTAGTCCTGGCATCCGCTCGTTGACATTCTCTTGCTTAGAATCCCCCAGGATATGCTTCACATGGCTCTGGTAGGCAGCAAATGTCAGTCGCAATCTACCCAAGTCACTCATTCTGTAGGCTCCATAATTGTCACTTGAAATCACGTACTTTTTGTAGTAATCCAAAAAGCATTCGACGCGTTTAGACAATTCAGTTTCCTGTTTGATAAGCCACCGGTAACTGTTGATGGAGCTGCGAGTAATGAGGTAACCTAATGCGCCGAATTTCAGCGAAAATGGCCAAGAGTGATGGTAAACGGGCGGTAGCAACTGAGTGTATAGGTTAAGAAAGTCTTCCGACAGATGTCTTTGTGATTCGGATTGTTTGGAGAGTTCCGATGAGTGACGGGTGCTGAATCGATTGATTTCGACACTGAGGCGTTGCAGATTTATATTGGTCGCAGCGTAACTATCGTCCACTATTTTCAGGAGGCCAATTTCCCGGATTATGCGATAGGCGAGTAAGTTGTACTCGGTAAAGTTGAAGGGAGATTTGATATGGGATTCTTCCAGCAGTTCCGTCTTTTGGGACTCCGAGTCCAACCAATCGGCTTCCTCCAGCGACCTTCGCATGCTCTTCTCCAGTTCCTCCACAATTTCAGATACTTCCAACTGAATTTCTCGAGTAAAGTGTTCCTTTAATGAAATTATAAATTTTTAAATTTTAAATATGTATTATCTTTGGTCCCCAAAACTTACCGCTATATCGAGTCTGTTAAATAGGAACGCCATAGTATTCTGCAGCTTTGTGGCGCAATAATCTGCCTGGTTTTTGGTGCCATTAAGTTTGGCGTCGAATGTGTACAGCAGCTTCATCGCTAGATAATTGGCAACCGCCTCGGGATGACGGGCACACACCTTGTCCATCTCGATGAAGTAATAATTACAAAATTTGCTCTTCTTTGATGTGTCCCGGTTCCAGACGATCTCAAAGTAGTTAGCCTCCAAGGATTTGCAGTCCCCAAAGTTGATAAATGTTTCCACCTTTGTCGCCTCACGCCAAAATGCGAAAACACCGTCGATCACCTCTGCAATTTTGTCCTCTGATAGCTTAAAGGATCTCAGGTATCCTCGCATGCGCTCCTCGTTGAGTGGGTAGGAAGAAGGGCTGACGATGGCGTTCTTCTGAATGGTGGTGTCAAATCCCAGCTTTGGTTGTGGATTGAAATAAGGGAGGAAAGGATACAGATCGTTGAGCTCCTCCTGGAACAGACCCTCTGCTCCGTAGTTGGTCAAGTGGGCGCTCATGTTAACCCAGTTGAAGTTAGAGGCATTCCAGGTGGCACCATCGACGGCAGGAAAACCTCCGATCGAGCGAATGAGGCTTAGATAATTCGGATCAGCAGCAGGAAACGGATGGAGATCAGCTCCCAAACAGGCGTTGTAAAACCTTTGAGCCACCGCAAGTTCGCTGGACACATTGAGAGACTCCGCCAGATCCATCCTGTTCAATAATTGTTTTGCCCTGCCCACCAGGTGCTTCGTAATGTCATCCGGGCTGTTTTTCGAAACCGGATATCGGAACTGCGAGTTGGGTACATAGTTTCCGCAGGCGTACTCGTAGAAATCGTCACAAGGTGCTACACTCAAGTTCATGTAGGACTTCATGAGGTCCACATGAGACTGTAGGTAATCACTTTTTGAGCACGCTGTTCCCTTCTCATCGCCCTTCGTGGCAAATATTAGTGTAATAAAGTAGATCAGTAGTCCAACCAACCTTAGGTTGATCGCACCTAACCCAATTATTTTAAATTTCATGTTAACCAACCGATGTTGTATGTTTTCCGATTTTATAGGCCGACTTGTCGATTCAGAACGCGAGTTTATACTGCCAGCTCATTGAAAAACAAACTTCGTTTTATAGGCTCAGATTGGAACTCTAAGTTTTGCAAGTTTTTTGCAGGGAACGAAAATAACTGTTATTGTAAATTTTTCATACAAAAAAATCACGCACTTAGAAGGGTCCTAAAAATTTTTTAAATACACCACAATTTTTATTAGACATTGTAGTTTACAAATCCGTAATGATTTTTATTTTTTGATTTTTATAATAAAACTCAAAAAATAACTGTTATTTTTTGATTTTTATGAATAACAGTTATTCCCTTGACATTTTTGAAAAAATGAAATAATTAAAAAAAACATAATACCCGTGCTTTTTATAACTTACTAAAAATTTGTTAAAAAGGGCAACCGCGCATATTTTATACCTATATTTTTTTAAAAATTTGTTTACCCACAAAATCGCCATAAATCAAGTTTGAGTTTTATTTTGATCACGACGAATAACTGTTATTTGTCAACTTTTATTATAAAACTCAAAAAATAACAGTTATTCTTTGAGTTTTACTTTACAAATCAGAAAATAACTGTTAAAGTGTGATTTTTAAAATAAAACTTATAACAGTTACGTTCCCTGGTTTTTTGAACAACATATATTTTTTTAATAATAATAACATTCTTATCTACTACAGCAATGTGTGCCCTTGAGTTTTGAGATTTCAAGTAGAGAAATAATATATGCACAAATATTCGCATTGCGATAAGGTATAGAGTATGTGCCACACGATATGCTCATTTTTTGCAATGCCTAATCTTTATTTTAAAATAAGTTTTCTATACACACAAAACAAAACTTTGTAAAATCAACTGTTATAATTGTAAAATTTTACTAATTAAATAGTTACTTTCACAACAACAAATACACACAATATTTAACTCACAAAATATTATTACTTTTCGTTATGATTTTGCAGAAATATTTTAAGAACGACTAGAAAGTCCGTTGGGGTAAAACTTACACACTTTCACATAAGAAATGAGTGACTTCAAGGGAACCGCTTGCATTGTAGGGTTAAGGAAACCAGGGTCTACTGGGGTTAAGATTTAAGTGAAGCCATTAAGGCAATAATTGCGCATACGACCCGTTGGTGCGCTGCGAGCATAACGGATGGCTAAAGGGCGGCAAAAAAACAAGAGCGACTCACACAAATGTACACACACATACATAGGTAACAAAAGCGGAGGCAGGTTAAATTTATACCCAAAAGCCAACAGGTTGCCCGAACCATCTGTTCTCGCTTTCCATGTGTATGTGTACACAGACACCTCACGCACACACACTCCCGCAGGCAGACACCTCTGGCCATTTGATGCTCGCTAAGCTGCGTCCCACTCATAAACAAGCCACTCATTTGCAGCCAATGCCCAAGGGGTTAATCCCCCCGAAAAAACCCCTCCCTACTCCCCCTATTCAGGGCGTGAAATTGGCATGCAAATTTTATGATTTTTGTTCCAATTTAATAATACAAAATGGTACACAAAGAAAATGTAAAGCGTTTCAATTTAATTCCCACTTTGTTAAATTGATTTTGTTATCTAATCAACATTTGTAAGAAAATTAAAGTGGGAATGTATAAGCATAATAATTTAAATAGTTTTAATTAATCATAATTTTAATAATATATTCAGTATAAATTAATTAATATTTTTGATTTAAAACGTAAACACTATTTAATTATAATTATGTTACACTTATTTATTGGTACCCATTAAAATAACATAGAAGAACATAAACCTCAATCACTTTGTTGTTTTAATTAATACCCGAATATTTCCACTATTTTCCGCATAAATAAAATGTTAACTGTGGGCATTTCAATGATTTTTTGTGGCATCCGACTCACCTTAAGTCCCTTCCGTACGAAACCGGAAATGAATCACGTCGCACAAAAACTGAAAATCCCAAAAAGGATAGGAAATAAGCGCGAATAAAATGCAAGCGGCAAACGACAGGAAGGCAAAGCAACAATTCACCCATAAAGGCAGTCATGGTAGTACTGAAATCCACTCAAACAGCCGAGTGCCAAGTGAAACCCACTCGAAGAGCCGAACGACGAACGAAACCGAAAGGAGGCTCGAGCGGCGAGTCCTTTTGGCGGAGTTCCTTCAGTCCGTCCTCGGCTTTCGAGCGTTATAGTCGCGAGTTCGGATCGAAGGAACACTGGGCGAGTGAGGAGCCCTTAAAGTGGTACTACCAACAACAAAGGCCTTAATATTTTAGCCAATGCTAGAAAGTGTTAGTGTTGTTTTCGCTTGATTCCAGCCAATTCGGAACGCAAAAGCAGTGTTGTGCAATACCGTGAAATTAAATTGCAAATCGAAGTATCTGCGGGCGATATTTTCTCATTTAATTCAGTGTTTTTCCATGTGGCCCACTTTGTTAGTGTTGTTAGTTGACTTGGCCTAATGGCCTTGATGTCGCCATCGAGTCGGAGTGACACGCCGACGGCGCTTACGCCCACTAAAATGTTTGTTCTTTGATGTTTTCCTTTGCAGAATAAAAGGGGAAACCCATTGCCAGCGAAATTATAATCAAAAAACCGAAAAAGTAAATCTACTTGAGAGATATTGAAAAAAAACGAACCTCAATGAACGGTCAAAATAAGAGTAGAAATCGTAAGCGAAAGGCGAACCAAGTTTGTAGCATACTTTTTTGGGTTTACGTCATGTTTGTCTACGCGAACCGCCATTTGTGCTTGTGTGCTTGAGTCCGCACACAAACACGCACACCATTATGTCGCCTGTATTCGTATTCGTGCCTGTGTCTGTGCCTGTGTTTGTGTTTGCATTGGTGTCTGTGAGCCAGAATGCATGCCAATCAGAATCAGAAATCAGTATCCTGACTCCTGAATCATCGACAGTCCAAACATCGTGCATTGCTTTTGTCCGCCTGGGCTAATTAGCTGCAGGTAGCAGGTCCTTGTGCCGTTTTACGTAAGTGTCCTCCCACATCCTCCACATGCATTTCCTCATGAGTACCCAATTAATTTTAAATGCCACACACTCCCCTCTAACCAAGTGCCTTGCATTGTCTGTGTGCCGCCTACTTACCAAACTGAAGCCATACTCTCGTGCATTTCCCCACACATCCTTTCAAATCCAAGCCCACTTCATGCCCACCACTCGAATACTATTTTCCACACTCGAGCTTAATTGAGGAATGCTGACTTGAAACGCATGTATGTATGTATGTACTTTCACTGCACTTTAAGAGGTCTTGTTGCATTTATCATTTATTGCATTTTCCCATAAACTAAGCTTGGAATTAAGTTACATTATTCTGCTTAGCATAGAACTTAATTAGTGATAATCTCCCCAGTATTTGCTTTGCAAAATTTTCGTTATTGGTCATTTTCCTCTAAGAAACACGATTAATATTTTTGAATAGAAATATAAACGAAATTTAAAAATAAAGAAAAGGGTAACATTTTTTAAAATAAATTTAAGGAATTATTTGGGCATATCTGACTTAAGTTCTGGAATGTTTACCTTGCAGGCTGGCGTTTGAATAATTTTTCCTAGATCCTCACTTTGAGTGCCGTTTGCTTTTTAAATTGAACGACGAGTGTAGGACTGTAATTTCCTTCACCTATTTATAAGCATGAATATTTAAACGATTTCCGCCAGCATTACCCTGATATCCCCGACATCTCGATTTCGATTTGGCCTTTTCCGCTTCCTGTCAATCTGCAATCTGCTATGGAAGCGACATTAGCGCTCGACTCTAGAGGACTCTATAAATAAATGAGAGTTACGGGTGGGTGAGGAAGTCGTGGCAGGGGCTGCGGCGATGGCATTTCCATGTCCTGCATGTCCTTTTCCCCTCCCCCTCCACGAGCGAGGGATTACTCATACGTCGTTTAATATGAAAATATAATTCGCTTTTTGTTGTGCCATGTCGTCTGTGCCCTGTCCTCCAGACTTGGCCGCTGTGCGTGTGGCCAAGAGATATGAATATGGTACCCCATCCGATCCTCCTCCTTTCCACGCCGCAGGGCACAAGGACCGCAATCAGCTAAGCAAACGCGTCAAATGCATGCATTTTCCGCCAGCCGAGCGACAAGCTCTTAATAGAACGAGGAAAACAGCGGAGTGAGGACTCACCGATGTGGCCAATGCCCTGAAAGCGTAATGGAAAATTTTCATTAAATTTGTAAGCAAGGCAACATGAGTTCTACTCCTTCCAAATAAATAACTCAGAGTGTGTTCAAAGTTTAAACCAGAAAAGAGTCTGCTTAAATAATATTTAAATTTAATTATTTAAATTAAAATGGTATATAAGTTGTTGGCGTTTAAATATTTCAGTGAAAATAAGATTAAACCGACATTTATCATTAAATTCGAATTTCTAATAAATATAAATAAAAGCTGTATAGCAAATGAGATTTTGGCCTATTTAAAATCCAAACAGATTGCCAGAGAGCACCGGCAAAAAGTTATCAAAGCTTAAGCTACCTTTTATCCTCTTCTTTGGAACAGACTTAATTAGTGAGGCAGTGAGTCCTTTGAAGAGTATCCTGAAGAGATGAGTGGAAGCGCTGACAAGCGTGTTAATTTGCATAGCTTTGCGAAGGATTCCGAGCGCAGATGACACATGAGGTGCATTCGAGTGAAATTTGCACACAGAGTGACGCATATTCGCATTCATATGTTAGCTTTTCAGGTCGCAAAATATTTACCCAGACATAACAATCCACTGAGAGGTATCCAATAAACGTTGCTCTTCGATTGTCGGAAGCTAAGCCCGTGTCAGAGATATGTTCGTCGAATAGTGATAACTTTGATTGGGAATCTCAACATTTCCACATTAAACATTTCAACGACCGCGGGAGGCGGGGAAATTCCGAGCAGGTGCAAGGACTACAATGCATTCTCCCCCCATCCGACCGTCACTTCGATCTATCGGGGGAGCAAGCAATGTCAATCTGGCGAGGATGTCACTTCGCCACCAGCCCCCTGCTTCTCCTCTTCCTCCCCCCCGCTTCCGGCTGAAAGTTTTCCATGGAAAATGGGAAAAAATCGAAGCGTTTGACATGTGACCAACATGTCAGGGGAGTTGCTCTTCCTCGGTCTTTTCTGTTTTTTCCTCAGGGCGTGTGGAAGGTATGCATTCAATGCAACCAGGCAGCCAGGTGGGAAACCATCTTAGACATCGAGCCAAGAATTTTTCAGATACGCCACACTGCAAAAATCATTGCGCAAAGTCATAAATGAATCTGTATTTTTACTTAACTAAAAAGATTTATTGATCGAGGTGAAAAATCTGGCCGATGGGTTGACAATGGTGTACAGCTGTCAAAAAGATATTTAACAATTTGTCGAAATAATAATAATTATTAATTTGGAGAAAATTTTTTAGAAAATAGGAATATACCTATATTTTTTTTCCAATTTTTCATTAATAAAACTTACTCTTGTATTTAACTAATATTGATAAAAAATAAAAGTTAATTAATAAAAGGGTCAAATGAACACTCATGGTCACTGTCGAATTCTGCGTTTCCTGATTCGATAACGCCTATCAGAATGGAACATTTTTGAATTATTTATGTGGAGTATAATACAAAAAATGATTATAAAATATAGATAAGGCATTGCAAAAAATTAGCAAGGCGTTTGGAAAGTACTTTATACCATATCGGAGTGCGAAACTTTGACCACACATCCTTTCTCTACTTGAAATCGCAAAACTCAAGGGCACACATTGCTGAAGTAGATAAGAATGAAAGTCAGAACAAGCTATTATAAAAAAATAATTTAATTTAAAAAACTTGTCCAGACATGGAGCACTTACAGTTCCAATCTGACCCTATAAAAGGAAGTTAGTTTTGCAATAAGCTGGCATTATAAATTCGCACTTCGAATTGACCAGTCATCCAAGTTCGGAAAAATTAAGATGAAATACAAAAAAATTGGATTAGGTTTGATTAGCCTGATCGCACTAATAATGGCCACAAATGGCGAAAAAAAGGGAATCGCGAATCTCATGAAGTCCTACATGAACTTGAGTGTAGCACCTTGTGACGATTTCTACGAGTATGCCTGCGGAAACTATAAATCCAACTCTATGCTCCGATATCCGATTTCGGAGAACAGGCCGGATGACATCACGAAGCACTTGGTGGGCAGGGCAAAACAATTATTAAACAGAATAGATTTGGCGGAGACTCTCAATATGTCCAGCGAACTAGAAGTGGCACAAAGATTCTACAACGCCTGTTTGGCAGCTGATCTCCATCCGTTTCCTGCTGCTGATCCGAATTACCTAAAACTCATTCGGTCGATTGGAGGATTTCCTGCTGTCGATGGTGCCAACTGGAATCCCTCTAACTTCAGTTGGTTTAACATGAGCGCCCACTTGACCAACTACGGGGCAGAGGGTCTGGTCCACGAGGAGCTGAACAACGTTTATCCCTTCCACCCATACTTAGATCAACGACCAAAGCTGGGGTTTGACACCACCATTCAGAAAGACACCATCGTCAGCCACTCTTCCTACCCACTCAACGAGGAGCGCATGCGAGGATACTTAAGATCCTTTAAGCTATCAGAGGACAAAATTGCAGAGGTGATCGACGGTGTTATCGCATTCTGGCATGAGGCAATCAAGGTGGAAGAAGATAACACATATGGACACTGCGAATCCTTCGAGGCTAACTACTTAAAGATTGTGTGGCACAGGGATTTATCCACGGAGGACGAATCTTGCAATTCTTACTTCGTCCAAATGGACAAGGTGTGTGCCCGGCATCCTGAGGCGGTGGCCAATTATCTATCAATGAAGCTGCTGTACACATTCGACGCCAAACTTAATGGCTCCAAAACCCAAGAAGATTATTGCGCCACAAAGCTGCAGAACACCATGGCGTTCCTATTCAATAGACTCGATATAGCGGTGAGTTTTGGGGACCCAAGATAATAGAAATTTAAAATTAAACAATATATAAATTATTTAAAGGAGCTCTTTAGTGAGGAAATTAATTTGGAAGTATCTGAAATGGTCGAGGAACTCGAGAACAGCATGCGAAGGTCGCTGGAGGAAGCCGATTGGTTGGACTCGGAGTCCCAAAAGGAGAAACTGCTGGAAGAAACGAAAATTAAGTTTCCTTTCAACTTTACCGAGTACAACTTACTCACCGATCGCATAATCCGGGAAATTGGCCTCCTGAAAATAGTCGACAATACTTACGCTGCGACCAATATAAACCTGCAACGCCTCAGTGTCGAAATCAATCGATTCAGCACCCGTCACTCTGCGGAACTTTCCAGGCACTCCAAATCACAAAAACTTCTGTCGAAAAAGTTCCTTGGCCTATACACGCAGTTGCTACCGCCTGTTTACCATCACTCTTGGCCATTCTCCCTGAAATTTGGCGCATTAGGTTTTCTCATCACTGTCGATTCCATCGAAAGCCCCCGGTGGTTAGGAAACCGGGAAGAGGAATTTCGTAAGCGCGTCGATTGTTTTGAGGATTACTACAAAAAGTACGTGATTTCAAGTGAATATGATGACGTCGACAAAATGATCGACTTGGGTAGATTGCGACTGACATTTGCTGCCTACCAGAGCCATATGAAGTATATCCTGGGGGATTCTAAGCAAGAGAATGTCAACGAGCGGATGCGAGGACTAGACCTGTCGCCGAATCAGCTATTCTTTCTGGGATCCGCTCAGATGCTTTGCTTCAATGACAAAAGCTATGTTAAGCAGATAGCTTTTGGAGCCCTATCGAGCACCGAAGACTTTTTCCAGGCCTTTAACTGCCCTGTGGGATCTGGCATGCGTCCCACAGCCAAAACTTGTCGTCTGTGGTAGACAAAAGCTACGGTCAGACAATCAAATTATTTGAACCAAATTATCTACGTTGGTTATGATTTTTCATAGAAAATGTTTGAAAATTATTGGCTTACTTGTTTTCTAAGTTCATGCCAATCCTAAATATGATAAAATAATTTGATCATCTGAATGTAGCATTATTTTTCAGGGACCGTAAATAATCATTATTTGAGATTTTTATTTTAAAAAGGCTACTGTGATATTTTGTTTTAAACGTCAAAAATAACGTTCTTTTTACTCTTGTCCACAAAGTATATGCATTTTAACAAATCTGGAAAGCAAATTAACTGTTATTTGTTCATGTCTATAAAGTGCATAAAAACCAGTTAAATTGTTGATTAAAACTTGTAAAAACCTCAGTAGGCCTTTTAAAATAAAAATCTCAAATAATGATTATTTACGGTCCCTGTTATTTTTCAAACAATAGTTCCCCACACGCAAACGAATCTGCTTAATAATTATCGAAAATATAAGATTTTTATTGAATAAAAAACAACACTAAGCTGCAGCATACGGAAACTATTTATTTTTAACAAATCCGGGGTTTCTTGAAACTAATAACTCTATGAACATACGACATTTAACTTGATGGATACGATAAAGTCGTACTCGCTTTGGATTCCCCGTTTGAACTGCGTTTACCGAAAAGTTTCCCAAGGAAAGGAGTCTGAGAAAAAGGACCTCAAAGCGGAGAAAATTTGCCAACTTTCGGAGGGGAAATGATTTCTAAGTTTGTTTTGCTGTCAAAGTGTCTACAAAAATGTGGTTGTCAAATTTTGAATAAAATATACACTTTTACTCTACGAGTAACGGGTATAAAAAGACCCCACAATCGCCTTAAATGATTTTAAAAAGTGTCTGGCGCCCACATCATTAAAAATTTCGGAAAAGTAAAAATTCTGTTGTATTGTATTTATCAATACCTATCAAAATGGAGAAGAAATTTTTCAAATCGGACAATTTATATCTCCATCTCCTTCGCACTCCCTTTAGCTGAGTAACGCGTATCTGATAATCGTGGTGCTGATCAAGAATATATATACTTTATGTGGTTAGAAACGTCTGAAGGGCGTTGCAAACTTCTGGCTGAAGTCATAATACCCTCTGCAAGGGTATAAAAATATGTCGTGTGGCATATAACTTTTCTATGCCCCTTATCGCAATTCGAATATTTGACAATCATGCTTGCTCTACTTGACATCGCGAAACGCTGGGAAACACATTGTTGTGGTTGATAAGTGCACTCATAAAAATATCTTTCAAAAATTTGGAAATCTCGCCATTGAATTGCCAAAGGTTGGCGATTAATCAGCGAGATTTCTCATTTTTACAAATAAATTTTTTTGAGTGTACGTTTAATCCGAACAATATTTCATTTAAAAAGCTTGCAGATAAGAAGCACTTCCAGTTTTAATCTGAGCATATAAACTGAAGTACGTTTCAAAATAAGCTGACAATATAAATTAGCGCTTTGAATTCACCAATCGGTCAGTAAGATCGGAAAAATAAGCCATGCAACATCGGTTGGTAAACATGAAGTCCAAAATAATTGGGTTAGGTGCGATTAACCTAATATTGGTTGGACTACTGATCTACCTTATTACATTTGCCACGGAGGGCGATGACCTACAGTCGCATGCGACTCTCATGAAGTCCTACATGAACTTGAGTGTAGAACCATGTGACGATTTCTACGAGTACGCCTGCGGAAACTATGTACCCAACTCGCAGTTCCGATATCCGATCTTCGAGAATAGCCCGGATATCATCACAAAGCACCAGGTGGCCAGGGCAAAACAATTATTGCCCAGGATGGATCTGGCGGAGTCTCTCAATGTGACCAGCGAACTAGAGGTGGCCCAAAGATTCTACAACGCCTGTTTGGAGGCCGAACTCTATCCGTTTCCTGCTGCTGATCCGAATTATCTAAGCCTCATTCGCTCGATCGGAGGTTTTCCTGCCGTCGATGCGGCCAACTGGAATGCCTCTAACTTCAACTGGGTTAACATGAGTGCCCACTTGACCAACTACGGTGCAGAGGGTCTGTTCCAGGAGAAGCTCAACGATCTTTATCCTTTCTACCCAAGCTTAATTCAACAACCAAAGCTGGGGTTTGACACCATCATTCAAAAGAACTCCACCGTCAGCCACTCTTCCTACCAACAAAACGAGGAGCGCATGCGAGGATACCTAACAGCGTTTGGGCTATCCGAAGACAAAATTGCTGAGGTGATCGACGGTGTTTTTGCATTCTGGCGTGAGGCGATAAGGGTGGATACATATATCAGTCTCGAGGACTGCAAATCCTTAGAGGCTAACTACTATGAGATCGTCTGGAACCAGGATCCATCCATGGAGGGCAATTATTGTTATTCCTACTTCGTCAAAATGGACAAGATGTGTGCCCAGTATCCTGAGGCTGTGGCCAATTATCTAGCTATGAAGCTGCTGTACACATTTGACGCAAAACTTAATGACACCAAAAACCAGGGAGATTATTGCGCCACAAAGCTGCAGAATGCTATGGCGTTGCTATTTAACAGACTCGATATAGCGGTGAGTTTTGGAGACCCAAGATAATAGAAATTTAAAATTAAACAATATATAACTTATTTAAAGGAGCTCTTCAGTGAGGAAATTAATTTGGAAGTATCTGAAATGGTTGAGGAACTGGAGAAGAGCATGCGACGGTCGCTGGAGAAAGCCGATTGGTTGAACTCGGAGTCCCAAAAGGAGAAACTTCTGGAGGAATCCCATATTAAATTTCTCTTCAACTTTACCGAGTACAACTTACTCACCGATCGCATAATCCGGGAAATTGACCTCCTGAAAATAGTGGACGGTAGTTACGCTGCTACCAATATAAATCTGCAACGCCTCAGTGTCGAAATCAATCGATTCAGCACCCGTCACTCTACGGAATTCTCCGAGCACTCCACATCACTGGAACGTCTGTCGGGATACGACCTTGGAATGTCAGCATGGCTGCTACCGCCTGTTTACCATAACTCTTGGCCATTCTCCCTGAAGTTCGGCGCATTAGGTTATCATATTACTCGCGGATCTATGCCCAGCTACCGGTGGTTCCTCAGAGAGGAAACTGAATTTTCTAAGCGCATCGATTGTTTTGTGGATTACTACAGAAAGTACGTGGTTTCAAGTGACAATTATGAAGCCCACAACGTAATGGACTTGGGTAAACTGCGACTGACATTTGCTGCCTACCAGACCCATATAAAGCATCTTCTAGAGGATCCTAAGCATGCGAGGATCAACGAACAGATGCCTGGACTAGATCTCTTGCCAAATCAGCTTTTCTTTCTGGGATTCGGTCAGACGCTTTGCTCCTATGAAAAGGCCTTTGCTAAAGGGGTGGCTTTTGCAGCCTTATCGAGCACTGAAGACTTTTTCCAGGCCTTCAACTGTCCTGTAGGATCTGGCATGCGGCCCACAGCCAAAACTTGTCATATGTGGTAGACCAAGGGGGCCTATGTAGGCTTTTACTTAACTAATTCCATTTATTTTATAATTTTTGAGTAGCTAAGAATATTTTTTGCTTGTAGGGAACGAAAAATGTTTTTAGCTACTCAAAAATTATAAAATATACAAGTTTACATTTGAATAAAAAAAAACAACAAAACAGTTAAATTTGGTTTCGTTTACACCAAAGTCTCAGGTTGGACGTGTTACTAAAAACATATTTTTAAATAATTTTTTATACCCTTGTAGAGGGTATTATAATTTCAGTCAGATGTTTGCAACGCAGATATATTCTTGATCAGCACCAATAGCCGAGTCTATCTAGCCATGTCCGTCTGTCCGTCTGTCCGTCTGTCCGTCTGTCCGTCTGTCCGTTTCTATGCGAACTAGTCTCTCAGTTTTAAAGCTATCGCGATGAAACTTTCCCGAAGGTCTTCTTTCTATTGCAGGTAGTACATATGTCGGAGCCAGCCGGATCGGACCACTATATCTTAAGGCTCCCAAACAAATATAAGAAAATTCATTGTAACTTTGTAGGAAGTAGGCGTTTTAATTCTTGACTACTTAAAAACAAAATTGAAATAAATCGAAACGCTGAATCTGGAATCCACTATGGGCAAATATTCAGTCCTTGAGGCATAAACTCCAGTTTTAAAGATACAAATCTAAAATTTTTGTTATATACTTTTAAGGCTAAGATGTAATTTCGGTTTTTGTTGCTTTTTGAATCGGACCACATCTTCATCCTACGCCCACGCCGCAGATATACATTTGAAGGCAAGGATTTAAAGAAAATGTTGTTTGTGTTGGTAACTGTAATACAATTTCTGTTTTTGTTAAATTTTGAATTGGACCAAGTCTCCATCAACCGCCAACGCCGCATATTTACTTTTAAAGGCAAGGATATAAAAAAAATGAATTTGTTAATAAATATTTCATATTTAACGCCTTTCGCAACAAAACTGAAGTATCTTCTTGTTTGATATTTTTTGCCAAAAAGAAGCACCATGCCAAATTAATGGCATCGAATTTTCTTTTTCTTTCGCCAATTGAGATGCCACCTTACGCTTTAATCGTGGTCCTGCCTCATTAGAAGTTAGGCATTTGCGACCAGGTTTGTCGCTTGGCAAGCCCTTTTCCAAAAATGAAATTTTCATGTTCGACGAAAGCCGCAGGAAATGTTCTTCCTTGAATCGGTCTATTATTCTATGACATTTTGGCAAATTACGACTAAAAAAGGCAACAATCTGCTTAATTTTTTTTGACTATTGTGTGCTGACTATCGCTTAATTCGATTCCGTTCATAGTTTGCAAAACAAATTCCATCACAGCGGTTTGTTGCCGGTTGTTGCCGATACAAACATTAAGCAATGTGTAGTGACAGAACTCGAATGCAACTACAACATGGAGGTTTTACGTATAACGTGCAAAAACGTGCAAAAAGTATTGATAGGGTTCGATTAGCAATTGTTTTGTTTATAACTTCCTATTTTTACCTT